CCAGCTGATGTGGGGGAGTGAGGACACAGGATTAGAGGGGAGTGGATACTGTGAATTGCACCTAGAAACAACAGCACTAGGGCAGGCTCCTTCCCCTTGAACTATGCTTCCATTAGTGGAAGAGTGCATAAAATGAGTAAAATAAAAGCTGCAAACCAGGCATGGTGGCTCACGCCTGTAATCCCAGCACTTTGGGAGGCCAAAGTGTGAGGATCTCTTGAGCCCAGGAGTTCAAGACCAGCCCTGGCAACGTAGCAAGATCCTGTGTCTACAAATAATAATTTATTTATTTTGCATGTAGATATCTAGTTTTCCCAACATCATTTATCGAAGGGATTGTCTTCCTCCGTTGTGTATTCTTGGCACCTTTGTGGAAGATCAATTGACCATAAAGCTGGAATTATTTCTGGGATCTGATCTCTATTCTGTTCCATTGGTTTACATGTCTGCTTTTATCCAGTACCATGCTGTTTTTATCACTATGGCTTTGTAGCAGAGTCTGAAGTCAGTAATGTCATGCCTTTAGCTTTGTTGCTTTTATTCAAAGTTGCTTTGGCTATTGTGAGTCTTTTGTGCTTCCACACAGATTTTAGGATTGTTTTTTCTATTTCTGTGAAAAATGCCTTTGGAATCTTGATAGAAATCACATTGAATCTGTAGATGGCTTTGAGTAGCAGGGACATTTTAACAAAATTAATTCTTCACTTCCATGAACGTGGGATTTCTTACCATTTATTTGTGTTTTCTTTAATTTCTTTCATCAGTGGTTTATAGTTTTCAGTGTACAGATCTTTCACCTTCTTGTGTTATTCCTAAGTGTTATATCTTATTTTTTGATTCTATTTTAAATGAGATCATTTTTAAAATTTCTTTTCTCCATAGTGCATTGTTAGTATATGGAGACACTACTGATTTTTTAAATGTTGACTTTGTATCCTGCAAGTTTACCGAATTAGTTTTTGGTGGAATTTATATGATTTTCTATATATAAGATCATGCCACCTACAAATAGAGACAATTTTGCTTCTTTCCAATTGAATGTCTTTTATTTCTTTTTCTCCCCTAATTGCTCTGGCTAGGACTTCTAGTACCATGTTGAACAGAAGTAGAGAAAGTAGGTATCTTTGTCTTATTCTAGAGAAAAAGCTTTCAGCTTTTGACCATTGAGTATTATGTTAGCTGTGGGCTTGTCATATATGATCTCTGTTATGTTGAAGTGCATTTCGTCTATGCCAAATTTGTTGAGACCTTTCATTATGAAAGGATGTTGAATTTTGACTAATGCTTTTTCTGCTTCTATTGAGATCATCATATAATTTTTATCTTTTATTCTGTTAATGTGATGCATCATAATTATTCATTTGCATATGTTGAACCACGCTTAGTTCTCAGGGAAAATCCCACTTGATCATGGTATATGATCATTTTATTGTGCTATTGAACTTGATTGGATAGTATTTTGTTTAGGATTTTGGCATCCATGTTCATCAGTGATATTGGTCTATAATTTTCTTTTCTTGTAGTATTCATATCTGGCCTTGTAATATAAGTTTTGGAAGTGTTCCTTTATCTTTTATTTTTGGAAGAGTCTGAGAAGGATTGGAATTAATTGTTCTTTAAATATTTGGTAGAATTCATCAGTGAAAGCGTCAGGTCCTGGGAACAGGAGTCTTTATGAATACAAATGTCTTATCTTGAGGATGGTAATGAAGAATGAACACTCTCGTTTTCCAATAAGAAAAAACATTGACATTTTAAAGCAATTCTTAATGTAAGAACAGTTACAATTTTGGCGTCGGTTAGATACTAAATTGATTTAAGCTACTCTGGAGGTCCAAACACAGGATAAATGGTCAAGATTGGTGTATGTGTGGTCTTGGCCTGATCACAGTGTGATAAAACAGATACATGGTAAAATTCATTTGTAGGACTGAGAATCAAATCACAATGCACTAGTTTGAGTATCTGCTCTTTGAAGAGCACTTTTTGCTCAACTTTGTAGCATTGTGAAGTAACAGAAAACACAAAATCATATCTTTATATAAATGTACACACTGTGTATACCTTTATACATACTATATACTCATGTACATATATAAATACATCTATTTGAATATGTATTTAGTTGTAATATAGTTGAATGTGGCAAACGTCAATTTATTTCTCAAATCATTGTATGGAAATTGTAATATTTTAAACAAAATATTGTTATGAATCTTGCTGTTAAAATACTGGATTGGCATTGCTGTGTTAGAAAAGCTTTTTGTAAAACTAGAAGTTTTAGTATTTGGGAATATGTATTCAATAAATTTATTTGCTGTTTATCTGCCCCCTTTTAGAGTATCGTTATTTTAATATAGTGTTTCTATATTCTTAGTTACCGATAAACATCAGTTCAAACCAGAACAGATGTTATATAGATTTCGCTATGATGATGGAACATTTTATCCAAGAAATGAGATGCAGGATGTGATTTCAAAGGTAACGACCTCTCCCTCAACCTCTCCAATATTAGAATGCATGTTGCCATTCTTCACAAAGATAAAAGGTAGTTGAGAAACATACAAAATTTTTCTAGTTTAGAAAATTTGACTATATTACAGGCAAGTCTCTTTATTTATTTTTGATATTTCAAGAATTCTAATGTTCAATTGTTTTTTCATTCTCTTACCTAATTCTAAATGATAGTAGTACTGCTGCATCACTCACAAGGTTATATCCATTGAACATTCTTTCACATGTAGCAGCATGTTGTCAAACTACTCGAATTAAAAAAAAAATACAAATGTGTAAAATAAATGTAATGCCAGTTTTTTGTACAGTTGACAATACTTTATTGATATATGATGAACAAGTATTATAGATGTATTACTGTATTGGTATATTTTGTTTATGTTAGAAATTTTATATTTTATGAAAAATAATTTAGAAAAACCTTTGTATATGTGTATGTCATATATGAGGAATTTATAGCACAATTTTAATCCTATTTTTAATGATTTAAACAATATTATTTTATGATGTATCATGACATTGGAATAATTTTTAAATTGGTTTAGATTTTGTGATGATTCTCAAATATTGACAGTGAATTAATTTGTTACTTCAAAATTTCATTGATGTGTGTGTCCCTGGGGGTGATATCACTTGTTATTGATATATCTTTATTTTACGTAGGGTGTAAGATTATATTGTCGTCTTCACAGCCTTTTTACTCCAGTGATAAGGTGAGTCTGGTTTTTAAGTTCTGGGAAACTTAAATGGAAATATTTGTACTGCGTTTTAGGTAAATATTACTCAGCTAGAACTTGTTGCCTTGTTTTTTTTTTTTTTTCCCAAAAGTGAAAATTTTACTTTAAAATATTATTTTAAGGAATAATTTATTGTAAAATATACCTACATTTTCTTGAGATTCTAATTATACAGTGTTTTCCACTCTTTATTATGATTTCTAAAATTATTTTGCCATTAGTTCATAGTAAATTATACACTTGAAATAATCCACTTTCAGTTAATAGTTAATAAATAAAAGTTGATTGGTTGGGAGAGGATTTGGAAATACTGTTTACATATTTGTCATTATTATTACTTGTATATTAACTTTTTAAATTAAATTGTATAATCAAATATTGAATATGTATTTTATTTTATAATATTTCCTCCTCATAATCTTTTTTTCCCCCAAGAAAAGATCTTGTACTTGGAAATTAAGAATTATTTTGAAGTTAATAAGTGTAATTTTATAGTTTTATTCTTTATCATGTTTTTCCTTCTGAAGAGACACACTTGTTTTAAAAGAAGAATCAGGATTAAGTTTTAGTTTATCTCTTTAGAAAGACAATAGAAAACGTTGAGGTTTGTATTATGATGACTAACAGAGGAGATCTTCAGGAAATTGTACTTTTGTAATGTACACTGATATACCTTAACTGATAGAATGTTAAACTAATTTGAAATGGTCAAATATTATTTGGAATTTACTGACTAAATCATAGTCCACAACAAAATATGCGTGTACCATTTTCAGAATAGATAAAAATGCTTTTCAATCTTGGCTATAAAATCCAAATGTTTAGTGTTCCTATTTTTCACTTTGGTTTGTAATTCCAAGAAAAAGCAGAGTTTAAAAAAATAAAGATTCCAGATGTTGCTAAGTGTATTGGAATGCCCACTTATACTGCATAGAGAACACACTGGTTGCAGGTCCTGGAGGAGAAAACAGGATCTTACCCACAAGTCCTGAAAGTGTCCTATCTACTTTCACAACTAGGCTTCACAAACTGGAAAAAAGGTGAAAAAGAGTAAATATTTATCGACTCTGCCATAATTTTGTCATAGATACCCATAAATATTTTGGATAACTTAATATTAAATACTTAACTCAATAGCATTTGGGTGCTTAAAAATTCTTTTCTGCTAACCTAAGAGAAAACAAGAATGTTTAATGCACCATGTAACCTGTGTATATGTAGGTTTTACATGGGCAAAAATGTGTTCTGAAAATATGTTTTAGCCATATGAGATTTCTTATCAAGAAAGCTGCATCTGTAAGAGCTGATAAGGAATTTTTCTTTGGCTAAAAATGACAATTGTTTTTGAGTTGCCAAGAGAAAATTTATGGGAAAAACCCATAAAACAGAAGGAATGTATGATAGTCATGCTTTTAATATGCATGAATTCAGCTTGTAAAAAGAAAAGTTACTTAGCATGAAGAGCTGCAGACTCGCATGTGGTCTGTAATAGACTACACTTTTTCTTCTTACGATACAGAAACCGCGATGAAATGGGTGATGAGGTGTGAGAAACATGGAGACAGATTTAAAGAACAATGAATATAACTAGTGATTATTAGTCACTTCAAGTCTTTCGCAGTTTGGAATTTTTAACATTTTATAAAGACTGTCACTTTTTCATTCTTGTATGATCCAGGTCTGGAAAATAAATGAATTATAAATTTTTGCCCTTGGGCATTCAGTTCTGATCATGAAATTTGGTTGGTATCTGATGGAACTTTGAATGGTTTCTCAGTTCTGGGAAATCTACTGAACGGAGAGTCTGAGGTGGAGAGCCAGTGATCCTCTTGGTTCTCTGGGAATGTGGTATCACTATGTCCGTGAACTGATCAGGCAAAAAGAATAACAAGTTCTCAGTGTGTCTACTTCAGGACAGAACTGCTTGTTTTCCACTACAGCAGAGCTGTGTGAATAATACTGTAGTGCAAATCCAGCCTTCCTGGAGCTTTCAGGAGCAGGAATAAAAGGCATTTCTTTACAGATTTTGAGATTTTTAGTATAATCTACTGTGATTTAAGGAGAAGAAATTCTGTGTTATTATTACTTTATTAATACGATTTTGTAGAGTAAGTTCTCACTTAATGTCATCAATAGGTTCCTGGAACCTGCAACTTTAAGTGAAATGATGTATAATGAAACCAGTTTTGCCACAGGCTAATTGATGTAAATAAGAGTTAGGTTTCTGCAGCATCCAGTATTTCATTTCACTTAAAGGCGCAGTTTCCAAGAACCTATCCACAGTGTTAAGTGTGGACTTACTATATTTCCAACTCAATTATTTCCAGCTAATATAGCAGTAATAATCTATTTGGATATAAGAAAATGTGAAAGAAGAGATGTCCTGTTTTGGTAACATTGTGGGTATCTTTTCTTAGTATAAGCTGGTGGAGGATTTTTCAGGTGTTCTACATGCATAATAAACTTCTCTTATTCGCATGTAATTTGGGCAATTAACTCAGGTTACAATGGTAAACTTTTCTGTTGCATACTGATACTAAATGAAAATATTTTCTTCTGCTCACGTATTCCCCTTGCTTAATTTTTGTTTTTTTGTTTGTTTTTATTTTTTCCTTTGTAGAGATAAAGATTACCATTTAAGGACCTACAAATCTGTGGTCATGGCCAACAAACTGATAGACTGGTTAATTGCACAGGTAAATAGACAAATAGAAGTTGCTGAGTTTCACTTGTTGCTGCTTTAAACTTTGAGTATGGGAATTAGTACTTTTACTCTTTTTCATCTGTAGCAGGTATTAAAAAAATAAGTACATACAGCTAATAGTAAGCAGAATTAGGATTTGAACCTAGATAATCTGATTTTAGAGTCCTCAAACTTCACTTTTATGTTATCCTGTTTCTCAAAAGGAAGATGTTCCTATTTTTAAAATATCAGATGAGATCCATCAAAAAACACTAATTTGAGAATCTGAAGAATAGCTATGCTCATTTACTACAATTTTTTTATGTTTTTACACTTTGTTTTAAAGTATCTGTTTATTAATGCTAGCAAGTTATTCTAATCTCCCTGTGCCTTTTTCCCTTTTAGAAAATAATTGTGTTTTGATAATGAGCTTTTAATATCTGCCTGTGTCCATTTTAAAAAAGAAAGGAATTTATTGTTGTTATTGTTGGCCTGCATCTCAGGATTTAGATGCTGACTGCTATAATTGAGAAAATGTCATTTGCTTTTAAGTAAAACAAATTAGGGCATCCAGTCCATCATAGCAGACATTCAACTATAAATTATTCAAATATTCAAAAGTTTAAATATTGGCAATTACCTTTAGATAAAACATCAATTTATATTTTCAGTGGCTTTTCTAGCATCAGAGCCTTTCATAACGCTGTGGTCAACGTGTGTCATTCGAATTGGTTTCTATATTCATTATTGGAGTTGGACTTTCACATAGAAATTATACAGTTCTAGAATTCATGTGAACTTGTATGATGTGTTGATTATGTGAGAAACTTAAAGAAAATGTATTTGAAGCAAAAACTGATGCTGAGTAAACCTGTAAAGTTCTAACTCAGGAAATCAGGTATCAACTTTTTTTTGTCACTTTTTCTTTCCAAGGGTTAACATTAGAAGAATATACTAATTTTTCTAATTAATATAAATATCGCACCCAACCTTTTTTTTTTTTTTCCCAGATGAGTCTCACTTTGTTGCCTGGGCTGGAGTGCAGTGGCGCAATCTCAGCTCACTGCAACTTTTGCCTCTGGGGTTCAAGCAATTCTCCTACCACAGCTTCTCGAGTAGCTGGGATTACAGGTGCGCACCCCTACACCTGGCTAATTTTTGTATTTTCAGTAGAGACAGGGTTTCACTGTGTTGGCCAGGCGGCTAGAACTCCTGACCTCAAGTGATCCACCTGCCTCAGCCTCCCAGAGGGCTCGGATTACAGGTGTGAGCTACCACGTCCAGCCACAATTTTTTTTTCATCAGTTTTTCTTCGTGGTTTATTATGGTAATGTCTGCAGAAATTGTACATAATAGAAATTGCATTGGTTGGGACTCACATAACCTAGTGTCTGATGCCAGCTCTGCTAGTAACTAGTTATAAAAACTTAGACAAGTCACTCAATCTCTATGGATTTTAGTTTTTACAACTGTTTACTGCTTACTGCAATAGCAGTACATGCCATCTCTTTTCTATCACTGAAACTTTATGATTCTGACATTGTAAAACATCCTAATGTAAGTATCAACATAATCAACTCTGATTGCTTAACTTCAGACTAGGACCACATAGGTTGCCTTGGAAAAGGCAGAAATAGTAATGGAAGGATAAGAGAACAACAAGTTAAAGTTCCTAATCTAACACGAAGAAGAGGGATTTTTTTGTTTGTTTTTTACTTTTTTGTTTTCAAAGTAAGGGTCTCTTTCTACCAAGACTCTGAAATGATAATACTGAATTTCCAGTATGGACCAAGACACTGAATTGATTTGGATGGTTTTAGAACACAGAGTGAAAAAACTGGCTCTACTGTAATTGGAGTATATTCTAGATCCTATAGTTTTTCTCTTATTCTGCAATATATTGTGCGATGTCATTTTGGAAAACAAAATGAGTGTTGTATTCTTCTGAATACATTTTTTCATTCACTGTTGCACTGCTTTTATTATAGTATAATGGTTTATAATAAAATACCCTATTTCACAAAGTTAAATTCTTACTTGGCATGTACAGTAATGTACCTTTAAAGCATCATTCAATTCCTGAACATTGTGATTTGGGTTTGGGTCACTCATAGTTCATAATTAAATAATGCCTTGCTTCTTCACATCCATGCCGTCTTACTGTGCTTTTTCTAAACGCTCACCAGGTCCATATGGTATGGCACAAGTAGGATTTTTAAAAAGCATAGGAAATCCAGAACATGTTAGGTTATGTTTTTTACACCATTATGTTGAATAATATTAGTCTGGTCAGTGTTTCATTTGAATAATTAATCAAATAAAGCAATCAAATGTCAGTGATTATTAAACAAGCTTTTCTTGTAAGTTTAATGTTCAAGCAACTGCTTTGATGATGGAATACACAAACAAAGCAGGAAGCAGTCATGATTTCTGCCTTCAAGTGATGTTGGTCAGTTGGGCTAAATTTCATGTACCCTCTAAGGCTCTGCTGCAGCGTCATCTCCCCCAAGAAGCTTTGCCAGATCCTCTATCTAGCCTAGGCTCAGGGTCACCTTCTGTGGTCCCAGATCCCCAGGTATATCAGCCTCATTGGGAATATGGATTAAATTGGTTATTAGTAAGTTACTTACCTTTTAATGACCAAATCCTACCCTAGATTTGAATTACTTCAGAGCAGGGAATTATTTTGTGCTTGAGTGGTTTAATATTTTTTTTCTATCACTTGGCACAATATGTAGAAAAAATAAGTGTCTTTCGAACGAATGCATAAAAATTACAAAACAGCTCGATTTTTGAAGAAGGCCAGATGCAGAGTCTGAAGTTACAGATTATAAGTGTTTTGGTAGTTCTTAGGAGGATTAGTGAGGGTTGGATTTGTCACAACATGAGGTAGGACCCTTATTTTGCTCCTTGATAGACAGGTAGAATGTGAGTGAGTGAAGGGTAAAGAGAAGGGCATCGCAGCTATGAACAATTACATGAGTGAAAGCAGGAGAAGAATGAGCACAGACTTCAGGCAACAGCAGGGAGGCCAAGTTGCCTACAGCATGAGGTATGGAATTGAGCTTTGGAGAGTGAAGCTGGAGAATAAGCATAAAACCAAGATATGGAAAGTTTTAAAAGCCCAACAGAGAATTTTTGTACATTATTATTCCAAAAGAACAGTCTGTTTGAAGTTTTGGAACCGAGTTTTCTGTGCAAGAAAGTTTAATTCTGGCCAGGTGCAGTGGCTCACGCCTGTAATCCCAGCACTTTGGGAGGCTGAGGCGGTTGGATCACCTGAGGTTAGGAGTTTGAGACCAGCCTGGCCAACATGATGAAAGCCCATCTCTACTAAAAATACAAAACTTAGCTGGGTGTGGTGGCGTGCACCTGTAATCTCAGCTACTCAGGAGGCTGAGGTGGGAGAATCGCTTGAACCAGGGAGGTGGAGGTTGCAGTGAGCCAAAATCAAGCCACTGCATTCCAGCCTGAGCGACAAAGTGAGACTCCGTCTTTTAAAAAAAAAAAAAAAGTTTAATTGTTTAACAGTATATGTTAGAAAGAGTCCAGAAAAAATTATGGTAATTTTGAAGAGAGAGGAAGAAACACCATATGAGGGTATTGACAGTAGAAATGGAATAGAAGGCAGAGAGGAGAGAATAGATATGGTAATATACCTAAGTGCTAAAAGATAGGACTGGGGAGAAATGAGATAATATGTGAGAAAAAAGCTTCTTAAACTGTGACAATACAACTCTAAGGTCACACACACACACACACACACACGCATGTTCATATACACGGATCCTACTTAAAGAAATAAAATAGATGTTTTCTAAATAAAAACCATAAGAAAAAGATTGCTTTGAGCTATTATGTTGGATTCAGTTAAATGATCTGATTTTTTTTTTGGCAAAATAATGAAAGAGAAGCTTGTATTTGCTAGCTCAGCCAAATGATTTACTTGTGAGGTCTTACAGGTCATCGTATTAATATAGGTTTCTTCAGGGGTCCTCAGAGGGCAAGGCCATTTGGTGGAAGGGAATAGTTAGTGACTGAGATCATACATAATGATTGTTTAATTAGTGTGTCATCAATTTACAGGATATTTCCCTGTTGCATAATTGGAATACAAAATCTAAGAAATCGAATCTAAGAAATAACAGCCATCATTTATAGTAGCAGTAAATTTTTGTTACTTATGTAGTTTTGTGTATAATAAAGTATATTTGTTTCTCAAGAAATATTAAATCTTTGTTTTACTTAATGCCAAAAGAAAATGTTTTCATAATCAATCGGATGTTCTGTAACAATTAGATGCATTTGGTCTTATAAAGCAATGCATGCTTTATAAGCGAAGCTTTGTCTGAATTTGGTGCTGGGAATGTTAAATGGAGCAAAGCGGCCACAAAGCCTTTAGTTGCCTATTAATTCCCACAGTGCTTTTTCGGTTAACAGGGAGATTGCCGCACCAGAGAAGAGGCAATGATATTTGGCGTTGGACTCTGTGACAATGGATTTATGCACCATGGTAGGGATTTTTTACCCTGGGAGCTTACAGATGTATTTCATCACTTTGGTTCTTAGGATACTGGAACACCCAGTGCTGCAGTTAGGTCATTTGGAGATGAGCCAGCAAGACTATCTGGGTCTTGCTATGGGTTCAGGTTGGGTCATCACAACTGCATTCGGTTTCACTGCTGGTGCCATTCCTATGTCTAATTGCTGTTATCTACCCATTGCCATGACTTCTACCCTATTTTTCTAGCCTATGCTGATTCTAGAAGAGCAATGACTTGAGTTAGAAGTTTTTCTGTTTTGTTTTGTTTTTAAGCTCGCAAACCTCTTTGAGACTATTTCAGATTAGACTTGTGGTTTTATTTTGAATGCCAGTATATATTAGAATGACTAAATGACAGCATATGTGGTTGACTACTTACTGTTATTTTTAAGAAAAGTATTTTTAAAATTACTTCAGAGAACAAAATTATAGATCTCTAGGAAAAAATTATTTTTGATAATTAAATGTTAATTTTCTTTCTTGTTTGATGATTTCAAGTAAGTCATCACAAAACCTCTTTCTATTGTGCCCTGGGGTGACTTCAAGTAAGTCATCAAACAAGAATTTTAAAATAAAGTTCTTAGATTTATCAGGGTAATGAGAGTAAGCTTTTCCTATTTGTAACATCGTATAGGATCCATAAACCCAACCCAAGCAGTCATCTCTTTTCTTTTCTTTTCTTTTCTTTTTTTTTTTTTTTTTTTGAGACAGGGTCTCACTCTGTCACCCAGGCTAGAGTGCAGTGATGTGATCTCAGCTCACTACAACCTCTGCCTCGTGGGTTGAAGTGATTCTCCCACCTCAGCCTCTGGAGTAGCTGGGACTACAGGTGCATGCCACCACATCTAACTAATTTTTGTATTTTTTGGTAGAGACAGTTTCACCAAGCCAGGCTGGTCTTGATCTCCTGACCTCAAGTGATCTGCCTGCCTCAGCCTCCCAAAGTGCTAGGATTATAAGTGTGAGCCACTATGCCTGGCCTCTTTTAAATTATTAATATAATATGCTTATAAACATATATTTGATAGCACTTACACCTATTTGTCAGTTACTTTCAGATTATCTTTACATTTTTATGAATACAGAAGTACAGCAAAGGTTACAGTGATTTTGAGAAGATCCATGGTTATCGTTTTTTTGGGGGAAATTCCATCCTGTTTCCCTATCTCCAGATCACTCTGTGAGTTGTCCTGGAGAAATACTGATCCTTGAAGAACAAACTATGGATGGAAGAAATTACATCATGTTAGGGGATTAAACCTATAATATCAAGCTGAAAACCTGCAAAAGTTTCAATTTTTTTTTTCTTTAAAGTAAAGCACCAACACACAGTAATTTTATCTGAGAGTTTATTACAAAATGTTGAGTTACATCAAAAGTTTTTCATACAAAAGTCTGTGGGTAAAGCATGAACAGTGTGGCTCGTGCCTGGCTTTGTTGATGCCCTATCATGCTCCTTTTAAAAGACAGTTTGGTGGAGGGAAACAACTGTAGCAGAAACGTTGAGTGAGCTTTGGGAAAATGCTTAGATCATTAAGTCAATCTAAAATAGGTTGAGCTAGGCGCAGTGGCTCATGCCTGTAATCCCAGCACTTTGGGAGGCCAAGGTGGGAGGATTGCTTGAGCCCAGGAGTTCAAGACCAGCCTGGACAACATAGCAAGATCCCATCTCTACAAAAACATGAAATAATAATAGATTCTCATTTCTATTGCTAGTTATGGCTTCTGTTGTTTTTTAAATTTGTGGTTGATAATTTTATTTGTTAACTCATGTTGCCATCCAGTCTTTCAATCAAAGATCAATAAAGCCATTCATCCAGTCAACAATTATTTGTTGGAACTCTGTAAAAATAATGAAACCAAATAGCTGTCCCTTTTGACTGCTTACTATATGCCAAGTTATTTATATTTATTACCTCATTTTGGTTTTATGCAACAATATGTAGAAGATTTTATTGCTCCCACTTTACAGATGAGGAAACTGAAACTCAGAGGGATTAAGTAACTTTCTTATCTCACTTCCAGACCTGGAATTTAAACTCAGGCCTGTCTGATCACAAAACCTAACTTTTGCTACTGTGCCCTGGGATCACTTTCTTTTAGTCTCTGGCTCAATGAATCAACCTTCAAGGTATTAAGGACAGATAAATAAGAAATAGAGAACTTTTTTTGGTAAAGTATTTTGACAGCTGTCAGGATCTCACTGAATACAAATTCTTCGTATCAGTATTTAGCCTTATTTTTAAAAATACTAACAAAACATAAACTTTATTTCATCAGTGCATTCCAAGAATCTTAGGGGATTTTGGGGAAAATACTAATGTTCAGATAAGGGGGAAAAACCAGACCTTTTAGAAATAATGTTATTTGAGAATATTGCTTTTAAACAGAAAAGAAACATGAATTCGTGGAAACTAAAATCACATTTCACCCAGAAGACATATTTCTGGTTTGAAGTGTTGGAACAAAAGTGAACACAATGGGAGTTGTTCAAACACAGAAGGCAACACTTAACCCACTTGAATTTTCCCATAATTGTGTGGGATATTAAAAACATGCTTAAAATGTTTACTACAAATTGAAAACACCATAAATTTCTATGTTTTGGATGCATGCATTTTTTGATTCATTATAGTCTTTTATTTAAATTTGGATTTTAATCTGGAAAGCGAAGGACTTGGTTAAATTTTAAAAAGTCAGCCTTAGAAGAAATACTATTTGTTTTAAAAAATTCAAAATCCTGTAGGTAAAAGTAATTGAAAGGAGACATTGGCTCAAAATTATAGAAAGAAATAGAAAAAAACAAACAAAACAAAAGCCAGGGCTACTTGTGAATGTAACTAGTCCTAGGAGTATAAAATTGAGGTTATGGGTGCAGGTATTAATTTATAAATGTCACTGCTATTGAAAATGAGTTCGATTTTTGAATTAGCTGAAAGAATTTGAATCTCTTTTTCTGTAGTCCTTGAAAAAAGCGAATTCAAAGATGAACCCCTACTTTTCCGTTTTTTTTCGGATGAGGAAATGGAAGGATCAAATATGAAACATCGACTTATGAAACATGACTTAAAAGTTGTGGAAAATGTTATAGCTAAGTCATTACTGGTAAGTTTATTGATATGTTATATAAGTTTTCTTCTTGATTATAGACATTAGCAGAAGACTGCGTTAAACATGTTTGATGGTGATGCACCTTACTTCGTTCTGTTAGACTTGTAATTTTTTTCATAGTTGCTTTATCAGTAATGTTGATATTTTGCATTTCAGATTAAATCCAATGAAGGCAGCTATGGCTTTGGGCTAGAAGACAAAAACAAAGTTCCAATAATAAAGTTGGTAGAAAGGGGATCTAATGCTGAGGTAATGTGAATTAGAATTTAATTTAAATGTGTTGTCATGACATAAAAATAGAGAAATTCTAAACAAACTGAAATCTGCCTTTAAAGATAATCAGCCTTGAAATTATCCGTATTGAACATAATGTCTCTGGATAATCTTACTCACAGGTTCTACTGAATACCTTTGGGATTAGCAGCAGCTGAGTCCTGTCTGGCCACTCAGGGATAATAGGGACTGGGAGATGGTGTGTATTCTATAGCAGCCGTCCCCAACCTTCTTGGTTCCAGGGGCTGGTTTTGTGGCAGACAATTTTTCCACAGGCGGAGGGTGGGGGATGGTTTGGGGATGAAACTGTAGCTCCTGAGATCATCAGGCATTAGAGTGTCATAAGGAGTGGTCAGCATAGATCCCCCGCATGCTCAGTTCACAATAGGGTTCGCGCTCCTATGAGAATCTAATGCCACCACTGATCTGACAGGAGGTGGAGCTCAGGCTTTATGCTCACTCACCCGCCGCTCACCTCCTGCTGTGCGTCTGGTTCCTGTCAGACCTCGGACCTCGGACCCATACTGGTCCGCAGCCTGAGGACTGGGGACCCCTGTTCTAGAGCTCTTCGACTGTGAATTTCTTGACCTTCTGGGAGGCCAAGTGGCTCATTCTTTGTTCCTGGAGCTTCGCGAATCACAGACCCCAACCTGGAGCCCCACGGAGACAGCATAGGGTAGCACTGTATTATGCACAGCAGATGGTTCTTCCTTTCTGTCAAGAGTCGTGTCTTCTGTTTTCCCATCACCATTGACAGTCTTTTGTGTGAGTATAACTTTCATCACTGAAGGACATGCTTTGACTGTTTTCTCATTGGATTAATGCTCCTGATGTTCTCTCACTTCATCAGCCTTTTTTTTTTTTTTTTTTTTTTTTGAGACAAACTCTCCCTCTATCACCCAGGCTAGAGTGCAGTGGTGTGATCTTGGCTCACTGCAACCTCTGCCTTCTGAGTTAAAGTGATTCTCCTGCCTCAGCCTCCAGAGTAGCTGGGATTACAGGCCCATGCCACCAGGCCCAGCTGAATTTTTTTTTTTTTTTTTCTTTTTAATAGAGATGGGTTTTATCATGTTGGCCAGGCTGGTCTCAAACTCCTGACCTCAAGTGATCTGCCCACCTCAGCCTTCCAAAGTTCTGGGATTACAGGCATGAGCCACTGCATCCGGCAATTTTGCCAGCCTTTTAAACAAAAAAACTCCTCATCATTCATTCATTCATTCATTCATTCATTCAAGAAGTACTCATTTAGTGCCTGTTACATACTCAGCAGTGTTCCAGGCTCTGGGAATACAGCAACAAACAAGACACAAAATCCCCCACCCTCATAGACCCTACTTTTCAGTGCTATAGCCCCAGTATATCTAGTTTAAAGTGTCCTCACGTTGGTGCCCCTGGGTGGAAGATACTTAATCCTCAAGCAAACTTCTCAATATTTAGATCTTTAATGAATATGCAAATTAACAAAGTATGGTATTTACATTTGAACCTGTTTAAAGTCAGTGGTAAACTGCCACCCATCCTCCTATCTGCTAATGCCAAAGGTCTCTGTTTTATCAAAACACAAGTTCATGCAAGACAAAGCTTTCTGTACAGCGCACTAATTTCAAACAAAATAACTCTGATCAACGTATGCACTGTTAGTGGACCTGGCCGACTAATGACCATTTGTAGTAATTGTCTATGAGAAGGAAATAGTTTCTCCCAGGCGTTTTCAGAGGATGTTCTTAGAGCACAGCTGCATCTGACTATGCTGCTAATAAAATGCCCTCTCTCAGGTTTTCATCATTTAGCTGACAACCAAAACAGCAGGTAGTTTTTAGGCAGTAAGGCTGGTTGAGAAGTGCATGCTGGTTGGTGTGGAGGGATAATGTCTTCCTTGTCCTCTTTTCAGCAGCTTGCACTGTTGACAGCTCTGCTGGTTGGAGCTCTCTTCTTTGGATTCCAGGCTCCCTTTCTCCCTTGCCACTTGAACTATGTCAGACTAGAGATGCATATTTGGGTGTCATTGATGTAGATACAGAAGTTGACACTTCCTGAGTTAATTGGCTATAGGTGGAAAACACAGTAAAAAAACTAACCTGGAATTTGATTATAGTTAAAAGGATGAAATAAGCTAAAGAACAGTGAAATATAACAGAAGAGAGGAGTATGATGTTAAATCAGGGAGGGAAATGGGGATAATTTTGGTAAAGTTCTGTGTTCAAATTTAATACTAGGCCAAAGAGAATGATAACCGTGTTATCTCATCCACAGTTCTGCTTTGTAAATTTGTATAAAAACACTGCAGGTGTGTTAAAATGTCAACATCTATAAGCTCTGAAAGTTTTCATATTCTGATTTTGTGAAAAACTCAAATTTCTTATTAAAATATACTTTGACTTATTTTTTGTAATTTCTCTCTTAGATGGCTGGCATGGAAGTTGGGAAAAAGATTTTTGCTATTAATGGAGACCTAGTTTTTATGAGACCTTTCAGTGAAGTCGACTGCTTCCTGAAATCGTGTTTAAACAGCAGAAAACCTCTAAGAGTTCTTGTGAGCACGAAACCAAGAGAGTAAGTTGTATGATTTATGTGTGATTTTTTTTTAAAGTTATACATAGATAAGTAAAACAGAAAAGATAACTAAGTAAATGCTTAGAATTAAGCATCTCATTGCTTGGAACATTTGAACCTCACCAGTATCACTAATACTGGTTTACAGATGATGGGAAAAGCTACATTGCTTATGATGCTAAAGTAAGTGTTACTTGAATCCTGTAGTTTGAGTAGAAATAATGCTTTTCTTTTGCTGCCCAAATTTTCCTGGTCTGGATTGAACTGGATTTTACTACGAGTGAAGAAAACTAAACTAGTAGAACATTTGAGAATAAAGAACTGTGTTTCTCCATGTTCAGCTATAAGAATTTCTGGTGCTATCAAATGGTGAGATACCATTTGTAATTCAACACTCATAAGAGATGCAAAAAGACTGTAAGATAATCCATACTTGCATGTGCTTAGTAATTTGTCCATTTCTTTAAAACATTGTATTATCTATCTACCTATGGTTAGAAAAAAAGTTATGTTTATTATAGAAAATGTAGAGAATATAAATGCTTCTAAAGGGAGACATATTTTTTTCTTACAATATCACCCATAAATAGCCATTGTTATTCTTTTGAAATTAAGCATTAACTGAAGTCTTTAAAGTATTGGTACACGTATACACAATCAGGTACCCACAAAATGACAGCATGCTCTGTATGCTACTTTTTAGTAACATACCGTGCATATACTTACAAGCCATGGGCTTTTCTTGTGCAAATCATTTCCATCAATGGTTCAGTATTTCCTTATCAGATTTACCTTGAATTGTTTAACCAATTAATTAATTGAGATATGTACAAAGTACTTAGCATAATATATAAAGATTATTGTTTAAATTTTACTTGTATCATTTGTCAATCATGATAAGCAACTTCATTAGTTTTAAAGCAAATGAAGTTTAGCACTTCAAAAACAAGATTTTTAAAATTTTAACTACCTATTAAAATATAAGTATTCTTACCTGCCTTAAATATATTTTAATATGTAAAAATACATATTTATATGTAATATGTTTAAATACTATGTTATATATATTCAGGAATAGCTGGATGTACTTCTGCGATGTTTATCTTAAGAGGCAAAGTGCAGTGCAGTGGGCTGAGTTCTCCCTAGTGGGTCTCTTCAAGGCAGTGTGAATTCATTAAAGTAGATGCTTTAGCTTCTACCAATAGTTTACCAAGAGGTCTGAAAGAGTGAGCATGACACTCACTTTTTACTAATGTAGGAAGACTGGGCTAGAGGGCAGCAAAGAAGCACAGCAATGTCTTCCCTCTGAACCTTATTATGGTCTGTTCCTCTCCCTTTATTCAACTCTGCCTAGAAGACTGTCCTGGTTGCCCACCTCCTGACACTTTGAGGGCATTTAAAAGGAAGAAGACAGACTGGAAAGGAATAAGGGAGTAGCTTTCAAAGCAATCATTAGGTCTCCCTAGGGCCCCCCGACCCCCAATTTAAACCTACAAATACTGGTCCACTGCTCAGAGACATTCCAACAGTTAGAGACTTCGAGGCCATCAACTTCAAAATTGAATAAATAGGAGCAAATCCTCAATCGTAGACTTAGTTGCTAGATGAGCAGAATAGGAATCTGTGTCTTCTGACTCTTCTTAGTGTTTGTTGCGCTGTGTCTAGAACTCCAGATTCCAGATTCAAGCCTCTCTTCCACTACTTGCTAGCTCAGTGTATAACGTCACGTCCTCATCCATAAAATGGGGATAAGAGTACCTGTGCCATGAAACTGCAAAGAATGTTGAATAAAACCAGGTTTGTAAAGAACTTAGTGAAGTATCCAGTACATAGTAAGTGCCCAGTGATGTTATATATGATGCTGTTGTCTTCTCATCTTATGTTTCATTGCTACTTTATTATATCAAGAGCATTGTATAGCATACTCATTTTTTTTGAAGATAGCATACTAATTTTTAAAAATTTGTTTGAAATAAATAACTTTTCCTTTATGTCCTTATTCTGATGTATGAGTTCTATAAATCACTGTTATATTTTCTTACAATAGCTTCTTGGAATTTAAGTAGTATCCCATTTTTGAGGAAAAGGGAAAAATATGAGAGGTAAATGCAAAAGAATTTTCTTTTGATTCTGGCTATACTTCATACTTGATAACATCAAGGGATTTTTCAAAAGACTTTGTAGCAGATAATTTAGTACACTTATTTTCTGTAGGAAATAGAGCATCCCTCTTGTATAAACGTAATTCATTTTTAATAGGGAATATAATGTTCTCACCGGGGAAACATATTCTCTAAAGATCATTTTATTAGAGGGGTTCCAAAATTTGGACCAAAATGCATGTCATGGTATTTTGTACAATTTTGATTAAGGAAAAAATAATAATTCTCTTAAATATTAGAGTCAGCCTTCCATAGCAATGTTAGAAGGATAGAAAAACCTTGCTCAGAAAGATTGAGAGGCCACTGTGAATTACTCAGAATCCAAAAGCAGCAATAATTCACCACGGCCTGAAAGTTCTATGTTGTTTCAGCAGAAGTGAACTCTCATTTGTAGTATATGGAAGATGAACTGCTTCTGTTTTTGTTTCAGACTCACCAGAATATGTATTCATTCCCTTTTTCTTTCTTTGGTCAGTTATCTTTCATTTTCAAGTGTAACTTTGACAAACACGGATAACTATGTGTTATTCAAAGGAAATGAATACAGCCCTGTACACCAAAAACTATGAAGGAGAAAGGATACATTAATTCTGTGACCTCGATCCCACATACATGCAGATAACTTCATAGTGTATAACCTAATTTATAATAATACTCTCAAGTTTTCCGAGAGCAGAAAATCTTCATTTCTATCCCCGAATGCCTGCCTAGGTTATATTTGAGATTGCAGTGCCGGCCTCTCTACCTTAGGCCTAAATGTGGCCTATGGCTTTCTGAAGTGTTTGAACCCTTAGTTTTGCTCAAACTCTCTCCCACAGTGATTTCATAAGCTGCAGTTAAGTCCTGCTGTATCTACCTTCAGACTGTATTTAATATGCCCTTGAAGTGCTGCTGACGTTTATTTTACGATTAACTCATCTTTTGGGAAACACGTTTGTTTCTTGGGCATCAAGGGCTATCTATCACAATTTATTGCATTGTATTCATTTCTTTTTGTTCCCGGCTGCAATATCATACTCGTATTGTTATGATGTTCCCTCGCATCTGGAGCTCTGTGCTTTTCATTGTTGTTATCTGATTTCTGGCTTTCTTCTGTGGAGTATCTTATTTGTGAGTGCCAAATTGGACACCGCTGACTGGTTTGCCATGACAGCTTACTCAAGTTTTCCATCTCTTCGTAATCTTTTTTTTTTTTTTTTTTTGATGTAGATTCATTGGAATGATTTCTTCTCTTATTCACATTTGTCTTCTGATGTATTATTCTTTTAAACATTCATTGTGTAAATACTAAAGTGAATCATTTTCTTAAAATATTTTGATACCGTGTTTGACAGATCTGTTCTTTATAACTAGCTCTTCACTGTTCTTGGATAAAGCTCCCAATAGGTAGAAATGTATTAACTCTCTATTTCTGTTATATTAATTTTTATAAAGAATTTCATAGGTCCCTCTTTTTTTCTTTGTAACAGTAAACTAAAGAGAAAAGTTTCTGTTTTATTAAGCACCTGTATAGCTCATAGCACAGTACAGGGCAACTTACCAAGGTTATTTCTTTTTCATTGCCACAGATACCCTGCAAAATAACTTTTAACAATGTTATCTTTCTGTGAAATTTTCTGTGTCAGAATAGTTAAGGAGCTTATCCAAGTTATCTGGCTGCAAACTGACTACATGAACATTCAAGGCTAGGTTTAAGCAGGTGTGGTGGCTCACACCTGTCATCCCAGCACTTTGTGAGGCTGAGACAGGAGGATCACTTGAGTCCAGTCATTTAAGATGAGCTTGAGCAATGTAGGAGACCCTGTGTTAATGAAAAAAATAAGGTAAAATAACCAAGCATGGTGTCACCTTGTGCCTGTAGTCCCAGTCACTTGGGAGGCTGAGATGGGAGGATCACTGAGACAGAGAGATTGAGGCTGCAGTGAGCAGTGATCAAGCCATTACACCCCAATGTTCCTTTTTCAGGCTTTACTATGTAATGACTGTGTTCGGTTTAGAAACTCTGTATTGCGTGAGGTTGGGGACCACGTTAGTCTCCATGGATTTCTAGCCCAACATCTTTCACACTGTAGATCCTCAATAGGTATTTATTGAGAAGTGTGAAGGTGTACATGATGATTATTTTAGCCAGTTTTGATGCTTGCACTTCATTTTACCTTATTTTCTGATCAATTTAGGACAGTGAAAATTCCAGATTCAGCTGATGGACTTGGCTTCCAGATCCGAGGATTTGGCCCTTCCGTTGTGCATGCTGTAGGAAGAGGTAGGAAATTTATCTTGCAGGGAAGCAGCTTTCCAGCAGGTTTGGGATGTGCCCGACAGAACAGGAATGTGTTTAAAACAGGCAGAATCATATTGTTATGATTCTCAATTATATTTTCACTGTATTAACTCAATGGTGGCACATTCCAGAAGCATTAAAAAAACTAAAAAATTCTAAGGCCTGTTTATCATTGTTAAAAATTTGATATAAGAATGATGCCTGAATCTCACTTTTCTGAATCCTTTAGTTTATCCAAAGAATATAATAAATTTAAGATTTTCTATTTGTATTTTTCTTGATTTCAAGTAATTGTTTTTCTTTGTCAGTAATCCAAAGTTGTGGGTTTTCAGGTTTAAAGCTGATCTGTGGACTTTATAACCTATTGCTATATACTTCCTTCAGGTACTTCTATAAACCGTGGTTAAAACTCATCATAAGATGCATTTTAAATTCAATAATTTTAGTGACTAAAAAGTTATGTTTATATTTATTCTTTTTTGGTTTGATTATTGACATCTCTTATCATATGTATTTTTTAAATTTTAAATTGACACTAGTAATAATTGAAGGAAATAACTCTCAGATCCTACATTGCTAAACATAGTAAATAACTTGGGTCTACAGCAAGAAGTGTCACTATTAGCATAAGAAATCATGTGTTTATCTAGCAAAAGACATACATGCTTTTTATTACTAAAGAATGTAAAGTATCTTGATGTGATCACCCAAAACTTTGGCAAGAAGATTTTAAGAGGGCGTTTTTATCAGAATCAAATTATCAAGAACATACTAGCTAGACCTTTGTTATAACATTACTTTTATTATTGTATGTATGATTAAAAAAATCTAATTTCAGAAACCTGTTTTTTTTCTCTCAGATTTCTAAAACATGCAGATGGATAGACAGTTGAAACCTTCTCAATAACTCATTAAATATTGTCAAACTGAAATGGGATATTGAGAAACCAAATATCTTCTGCATTTTCACGAAGCCAAAAAGGAATAATTCACGTTAATAGTGCTATAAAATAGCTGAAAGCCTGAGTGAATCAAGCTGTACCTCTTCGCTTATTACAATGTCATTTAAAGAGCAAGGTTCTATCTTTGGAGCTTAGTGATGGGGTTGGCCTACATCTGGTTTCTGTGCTTTTTGCTTCTGAAGAGTACAAGACATAAATGCTCAAGTGCTTCCTCTTTCAGATGTGCATGAAATGAAAAGATATTTGGTTATTTTTTGGCACTGTAATTTTGCCACAAGAAAAAGAGATTTCTCATGTGGGTCACTGCAGTCACGCTTGCCAGCATCCCCAGGCTCCCCTGGCCCCCACCCTCAGCTGCATCCAAGCTACTGCACTTAAATCTTAGATCAGCCTAACCACGTCTTCTGTCTTTCTCCCTTGTAGCTAGAAAAACCATCATGGTTATTGAATTAGCTTCTCCCAATTCACTGTCTTCTACTGGGCACATATTACTATTCAGCATTTTTTAAAATGTGTCCTTGATGAGTTTTTTTTTTACTCCTCAAAATTGCTTCCTATATCCCAAGATGAACTTGTTCCTACTTTACAGACAAATTCAGCTTTTCAGACATGAAGCCCTTGGAGTCTTCCATTTATAGCAAGGTTGAGACTCTTAGCCAAGGCAAGGACTTCACAGTCCAGCTCTTTTCAACTCTCCAATCCTGTCTCTTCCAGCCACTCCCATTCTAAGCTCACACAAACAGAACAGCTTGGATGCTTCCAAATGGCCAGGTGATTTCTGGAAGCAATGCCATTTTTCAGGCTGTTCTTTCTGCTGATAATTTTCCATTTTCCCCTAAGACTCAATTCAATGCAGAAAACCACTTAACATTTCTAGGAGTGAATTTTATGGGGACTAAGAAGAAATGCAAAGATAAATTCTTGAATGTAAATTATTTTCTTAAAGATGTTTAATAATTTCTTTATGAGAGATGTTGGTCACAAAAGAAGTCTCTTCTAACATATTTATAAGTTTGTAATCATTTGTATTAATTATTTGCATTGTATTCATTACACGTATTTATTAATGGTACTTTGTTAATATTGATTTGATCACACTGTCAACAATAATTGGAAGGTTCTGAGAAACCGTAGCTCACTGGTTAGGATATGTTACTTCCATATTTGAATCTGTATCAATGCAAACAAAATGACTGGATGAGTGATGTTATCTCATTAATTCTGTTCTCTACAAATTCTCCTGTTTCTGACTTTTTGTATATATCTCAAACTCTTATTTTTCTTAGAAAAACCAGTCCAATCATAGTTGCTCATTGACTTTATTTTTCTCTGAAGGATTTTCTTTTTTATGTGTATGTTAAATTGTTGTCATTTTAAAAAACAAAAGTGAATACTATTTGAATATTTAGAAATATTGTAGAATAAAGGAAGAGAAGGAAGGCATATGTTTCTGGTCTTCTCATTTTGCCATTAGATATGCATGTTTAGAAAGATTGACTAGACATTTGGAAGGAAAAAGAACTGATTAGTATTATAAAGGTCACTTTGCAACATCCCTTCAAACTAATTCTTAGGGAGGTGAGAAATACTCTATTGATCACCGTTTGAAAGTTAAGTTAAAAAGCAGAAAAGTGTTGAGAGGGCATTGCTCTCAGAACCAAGTTTATCAAGATTATACTAGCTAGACCTTGATCGTATTTTAAAATTGCTTCCATAATTGTATATATCATAAAAATGAATCTTGTTCCTGAAATTAGTTTTTGGTTATTTTCCCATTTGTATTTAAAGGAACTGTGGCTGCAGCAGCTGGCCTTCACCCTGGACAGTGCATTATCAAGGTGAATGGAATCAATGTAAGCAAAGAGACACATGCCAGTGTCATTGCACACGTTACAGCCTGCAGGAAGTACAGGCGGCCAATGAAGGTAAGTGGCCCTTCGGGTAATCTGGATCTGAGTGACTACTTGCATAAAGACCTAAGGGGCGAGGTGGGATAGTGCCAGAGATGTTTGTGGTTTCCAATTTTAAGTTTAAAATTAAACACAGCATTATAAATCTCATAATGATTGCCTTATCTGCATAATTAGTTATAATTGATTGTGTTTAAATGGTTACATTTTATTATTACAGTACTGCCATCTGTTTAAAAAGTGATCTGGGGTACTTTCATTTTCATTGAGATACGAGTTTTATCAAACGAAATCCAAAGGTTTGAACTGTTTTCTTGGCCGTTGTGATTGCTTTAGAATACATAATGATCATTGTGTCTGTGTCTGTATGTATGAACCATAAATACTTATACTCTTTATTAGAAGACTTCTGTGAAAAAGCAAAAATTATGGGTTTTATAAGGTCTGTGATTGATTCTGAGGTATATTTATTTAGGTAGCTGGATTTAGCTCTTAAAGGAAAATACCAAAATGTATTTAGGGAACTGCATTTATCTCTTAAAGGAAAATACCAAAATGTACTCGGCGTTATCTAACATTGTAAAACACTACCCTTTGATCTACAAGTGCCACAAAAAACTAAAATTAGAATCATAATTCATAAGCAAAGCTATTATCTTATGAAGAAAATGTGAGTATTGGCATATAAGAGAAAACTCCTGCAATTTAATCGGCTAGATACAGGCAGAACTTTACAGGAGAAGCCTTGTATTTTCCTGTCATGCATAATGAAGTATTCATTTCTGGGTCTGAGGATGTGACTGTCTCCAAACCCGGAAGATGAATGGCCATTTTCTCATAAGCCATTGCTGATGGCCTGCAAAACACTGAATCCACATGAAAATAGGTGATCAGTTTTACTTAATAAGAAGGTCAGGCCGGGCGCGGTGGCTCAAGCCTGTAATCCCAGCACTTTGGGAGGCTGAGACGGGCAGATCACGAGGTCAGGAGATCGAGACCATCCTGGCTAACAACTAAAATAATACAAAAAACTAGCCAGGTGAGGTGGCGGGCGCCTGTAGTCCCAGCTACTCGGGAGGCTGAGGCAGGAGAATGGCGTGAACCCGGGAGGCGGAGCTTGCAGTGAGCTGAGATCCGGCCACTGCACTCCAGCCTGGGTGACAGAGCGAGACTCTGTCTCCAAAAAAAAAAAAAAAAAAAAAGAAGGTCAGATCTAGCATAGCAAATTGGAAGTTATACATAGGCTCATAGGTTACTCTGGTTGATAGTAGCTTGATAAATATTTGTTGAACTGTATTATAGAATGAATGTTTAAAGTCTCCTCTGAAGTGATCAAATCTTTTCTCTTCTACCAGAATGTTAATAAGCAGACAGATCAATTTGAATTTCATTTCTTTTTATTTTCCCTGCCTACCGTCTTACAGAGGTGTTGATCAGTGAAATAATTAAAGAAAAGCAATAAATGTACAGAAAAATCCACTAACATGCTCTCCCAGATATCCATTGCCGCAAAATAGACCACTCCAAAGCTTAGTGGCTTAAAACAATAATTGACTATTTGTCTTGATTCTATGGGGAAACTGTGGGGTAGTTCCTATGAGGTTACTGACGTGGCTGCATTCTGCTGGGACTCGAGTGGACACCTTTGCTTCCCCTGTCTGAGGCCTCGGTTTCCATGGGGCAGGTCACCCTCCAGGGCGCTTTTGCATGGCCTTTCTTTCCAGTCTCTAGCAGAATTTTTTTTTTTCTGCATGGTGTCTGAATTTTAAGAGGGAACATTACAAGTGATAAACCTGCTTAGACTGTGCTTGCTAGTATCCCTTTGGACAAGTCAAATCGTGTGGCCAAGCCCAGGGTCAGTGTGGGAAACTAAGCAGTGTGGCTCATTGGTGGCCACAACAGGGCACCAAGATGTAATGGAATGATTAAATATTAATTAACATTTTAATGATTTGTAACAATATAGTAATTAGACACACTTGAGAAGCTAATACAAAACAAATAGATAATACATATTGTATCATACTTCGATAATGCAGTTTAATTTGATTTAACATCTTATCTAGAAAATCTGTAAACCTTAAAGTAATGCAACTCTTGAAGCATTTGTTTGATAGTCATCTCATCTCTCTCATTTCTCTAAATGAGACTGGAACTGCTGTTAAAATATAGGATAATTTTTAAGGAAATCGCCCTTAAAAGTAGGATGATTTTTTTATTTGGGAGGATTAAAAGACAGTTGATCAATGAGATGAATGATGTCCTTCCAATTTTCATATTTGTTTGATTCTAAAATAGCAGTAAATGTATTAGAATATATCTGACTATTAGGAGAACATGTAAATGATTTGTACCATTATAGATAATTGATTCATCAGACAACTGTCCATCTCACAATTGTTTTATTTTGCTGTCTTGTTAATAAGAGATGGGGTTTCACTACATTGCTCAGATTGGTCTTGAACGTCTGGGCTCAAGCAATCCTCCCACCTCAGCCTCCCAAAGTGCTGAGATTACAAGTGTGAGTCACCATGCCCAGCCACATTTGATTATTTTAAAATGTGATTTATAACTTACTTAAGATATACTTGAAACATTTAAGTAAGACATTTGGGAATATATCCTATTTAAAAACATACATCTTTGGAACGTATCTTGGAAGATAAAACTTGAAGCTTTAAAAAGTCAGTTTGTTAGGCCAGGTGTGGTGGCTCCCGCCTGTAATCCCAGCACTTTGGGAGGCCAAGACAGGTGGATCGCCTGAGGTCAGGAGTTCGAGATCAGCCTGACCAACATGGAGAAACCCTGTCTCTACTAAAAATACAAAATTAGCCAGGCATGGTGGCGCATGCCTGTAATCCCAGCTACTCAGTTGGCTGAGGCAGGAGAATTGCTTGAACTAGGGAGGCGGAGGTTGTGGGGTGAGTCGAGATTGCACCATTGCACTCCGCTTGGGCAATAAGAGGGAAACTCTGTCTAAGAAAAAAAGAAAAGAAAAGAAAAGAAAAAAGAGAAGAGAAGAGAAGAAGAAAGGAAGGAAGAAAGAAAGTGTGTTTGTTAAACAATATAATTGTCCTTGAGTTTTTATTAGTTTCTGATATTAATTGTATCTCTCTTTCAAATTTTACTATTTTTAAAGAAGCTAGAGGAATAAATAAGGTCAAGTCTCCTTTTGAAGCAGGTTTGTGAAACGGGCATGCATTTTAGGAAGCACTAATACCTCTGAGGTTTCTTTCCCCCCTCATTTCCAGCAAGATTCCATACAATGGGTTTATAATAGCATTGAGAGTGCTCAAGAAGACCTTCAAAAATCTCACTCCAAGCCCCCTGGAGATGAAGCAGGGGATGCTTTTGACTGTAAAGTAGAAGGTAGGTTTCTTCTTTTCCTCTTCATATGCTTATGGTATTCTTTTCCACTGTGCCTGTGCCTACTCCCAATTATTGAAGGTCCTGTACGTGTTGAAGCCACATTCTTAAGTCATTATCACCAAACAGATGTCTGTCAAATGCATAAGTAATAATAGCTAGTAGCTGGCAAATTCTATTTGTTAGGCACTTTATGAAGTGTTGTTATGGACTACCTCATTTAGTCATCAAAAAAGAACATCTCATAAAATGGAAATGAGTATCATCATTCTTTTCTGAGGGGAGAAAATACTAAAGCCTATATAGGTTAAGGGACTTGCTCAAACTAGTTAAGTAGTAGAGTGAGGATTCAAACCCAGGTTATTATGTGTTTCCTTGTTTGGAGTTTCAGTGTTGTTTAGACCTGGCCTCCAGTGTGCCTCACAGAGCAGCAGTGTCAACATCGCCGGGGAGCTAGACTGAAATGCAGAATCTCAGCTGTACCCCAGATCTACTGAGTCAGAATCCTCATTTTAACTAGGTTTGATTTGTATGCATATTAAAATTTGAGAAGCCCAGATCTAGAAGATTCTTTTTGCACTTTTACTGTATTCTAACATTGGCAGTAAGGAAAGGAGCAAACTAGTAGTGTGAAAATGAGAGAGAAAAAGAGAGAGGGAGAGAGAGAGAGAGATCATTTGATAAGGACGGTTATCATTTCTGTTTCCTCAATGGAGTAAACCAGCAAATGGCTCTATTCAGTGGCTTCTTTACCAAGGGCGACTGAGGCAATTACAGTTATGTCTGCAATTGACAGATACCTTAAATTATTGTTTCAAAACTTTTTCACAGAAGCCCATGAATCACCTCTTATATTTTCTTGGTGTCTTTCCACTCATTATTGGTGGATGTCTCTGGATATTTTTTATTACACTGTTAGATTCCTCCCAATCAGCACAGCTGGAGAAGAATTACCTGTTCTGAGGTGTTTTCATTCACAACCCTTCTGACACCCTATGTGTGTGGGGTTTTCCCCATACCAACCAGTTCCCCAAATCTCCTAACACCAACTGGGTGTCCTACAATTCATCTCAGTTGTAAAACCAGGCGTTAGCACAGACACACAGGTTAGGGGATCAGTCCCAAAAGGTTGCCCCCATTTCAGGTGCCTGTTACATGTCCCAGGCTTTCACCTGTATTTCTGACCAATTGGCTATATATTCAGGGGGTTGCCACATCCCTTCCTCGGGTTCAGTTATTTGCTAGAACAGCTCAGGGAACCCAGAAACTTACAAACACTGGTTTATTATAAAGGATAAGAAATGAAAAGCCTGATGAAGAGATAACTAGGATGATGTCCGGAAGAGTGCTGAGCACTGAGCTCTGTGGTGGGAAGCTCTGTGAGGGGTTGGAGTGTGCCACCCTCCAGACATGCGGGTAAGTTCATTCACTCAGAAGCTCTCTGATCCCTGTCCTTTAGGGATTTTTATGGAGGTTCCGTTCCTTAGACATGATTGATTAAATCATTAGCCATTGGTGACCGAACTTGAACTCTAACCTCTCTCCCCTCCCCAGAGGTTCAGGGGTGGGGCTGAAAGCTCCAGCCCCCTAATCGCATGGTTGGTTACCCTGACAACCAGCCCCCATCCTGAAGCTAGCTGTAGGCTGACCAAGTGCCACCTCATTCACATAAACTCAGTTACGTTCTAAGGGGGCTTGTTATAAATAACAAAGACATTCCTGTCACCTCTATCACTCAGTAAATCACTAGGATTTAAACGTTTTATTTTAGGAATGGGGCCAAATACCTAGATACATATATTTCTTTCTTTCTTTTCTTTCCTTTAATTTTCTTTTCTTTTCTTCTTCTTTTTTTTTTTTTTTTCCGGAGTCTCTCTTTGTCACCCAGGCTGGATTGCAGTAGTGCAGCGGTGCTATTATAGTTGACTGCAGCCTCTAATTTCTGGGCTGAAGTGATCCCCCGTCAGTTCCCTACCCCATCCAGTAGCTGGGACTACACGCGCATGCCACCATGCCTGGCTAATGTTTTTGATTTTTGATAGAGACAAGGTCTTGCCATGTTGCCCAGGCTGGTCTCAAACTCCTGAGCTTAAGTGATCCTCCCATTTGGCCTCCCTGACTGTTGGGATTACAGGCATGAGCCACGGCGCCCAGCATATGTTTCTTATTGTATATTCCCTTTACACACTGATCATATGGGGGTACTTAGGAAAAGCTATTTTCTCTGCACTCCTGGAAGGCCACTTGTTGGATGCTACCCAAGTCATGGGTAGTATCAGAAACATCTCAAATCATTGGAGCAATAAGGTTGTTATGGTAATATATAATATTTATCTAAAATAGGATAAATCTCAGGACCTTATTCTGAGGTTTATATTCCTAACTTGGAATAAATCAACCCTGGTGCCACGTTGAAAGGTAGATTGGTTGCCGTAATGCTCTGGAAATTGATTTGTAGCTATTCTAGGACTTAGTTACTTTAAGATAAATCAATATTCTACTTTACCTATTTAATATTTACTGTTTATGCTGTTTTCGGGCTTTGTCTTTCTAAGTAAACTAATATTCTAGTTTTGTTTATTTAATTACTATTAGGTTTCCCAGGAGTTTCTTACTTGAGATTTTAGGTATTTTTTCACCAGCTGATGTACCTTATGTAAGCTAAAAAACTATAGGCAGACATTTTAGATGGAAATTTTATTATAGTGAACAATGAGAAATTTTCTCAATGAGCCCTCTGTGTAAGATGCTGTTTGGGAAACTGCAGGCACCCTGCCTGCCAAAATAAAATGATTCTTGCATCTCCTTTCTGCTTCTTCAATATGGCCTTCTTTATGGATTTTTTTTTCCTTCTTTGAGAAAATATTCATACGACATTCGAGGCAGTTTTAGAAATCTTGACTTTAAGTCATACAGGTCTTTAATAAAGAAAATTTATGTATAGTATTTATGTTGGTATAAATAGGTAGACATATGGTCCACAGATTGAAGTAGATATACAAAGATAAGACTAGTCATGTTAGAGTGCTGAGGTTTGGATCACTCAAGCATATGCTTTTCTCGAAATGTTATTTTTTAAAATGTTAACAAGAATAGACACTTCATTTAACACATCAGATTTAACCATCCCTTAAAGAACTCTTTAAAAATTATTTAAAGAGACACAAAATTATCTGAGGAGATTAACAAACCCTTCATGAATTTGCTGAATTACAATTGTCTTTGTTCCAGAGGTTATTGACAAATTCAACACTATGGCCATCATTGACGGGAAGAAGGAGCATGTGAGTCTGACAGTGGACAATGTCCACCTGGAGTATGGTGTTGTATATGAGTACGACAGCACAGCTGGCATCAAGTGCAATGTGGTGGAAAAGATGATTGAGCCCAAAGGTTTCTTCAGCTTAACTGCCAAGGTAGGAGTGATGCTGAAGAAATAAGATTTTTTGTTCTCAATAAAGGAACTGAAATCCTCCCCCTCCTTCATTTAAAAAAATAAAAATAGCTATACATGTTGCAGCTGTCAGCTCATTCAAACTTCTTCTTCTTCTTCTTCTTTTTTGTTTTTTTCTTGAGACAGAGTGTCACTCTGTCGCCCAGGCTGGAGTGCAGTGGTGTGATCTCTGTTCACTGCAACATCCGCCTCCCGGGTTCAAGCGATTCTCATGCCTCAGCCTCCCAAGTAGGGTAGGTGGGATTACAGGCAACACCACCATGCCCAGCTAATTTTTGTATTTTTAGTAGAGACATGGTTTCATCATGTTGCCCAGGCTGGTCTCAAATTCCTGACCTCAAGTGATCCAGCCACTTTGGCGTTCCAAAGTGCTGGAATTACAGGCGTGAGCCACTGTGCCCAGCCTCATTCAATTTCTTATTTTTCTCCCCCTCCTCCACTATTTGGTATGCATACAACTTCCTTTTATTGATCCTTTCAGAGCACAGTGTTAAGTTAGATGAAACCCTTGCTTAGGCAGGTGTTCATTGATATGGCAAGGACTTCAGCATTTATTAAGTTTGCTGTGTCTGTGAATTCATTATTGTGAATACAATTCAGATGGTTTTCATGACAGATGCTGCTTTTTTTTTTAATGTACATAATCCTCTGAAGAGTATTCAAAGTCGTGAAATACATTATGAGAAATTTCAAATTTGGCAAGTGCCATGTTTATTTCATAAAATTTCGGGAACTGTAGAGATCAGTTTATGAATAGATCCTCTGATATTTATGTAATTCTCATTTGGAAAAGACATCACCTTTGCAAAGGTGCTTAGGCTGAAACAAGATGGAGAGGAAGGAAGGGAGCCTTTATCCAAATGAATAAAATACATGGTAAAGAGGCAACTGCTGGCTCTTCATGGCCTGCCTACAAGGGAAATCCATCAGACTCCTACTGTATCCTCCACAGGTGTTGGATTTAGTGTTTCATATGGCTCTATATGCTATAAGAATTCAGATAGTACAAGTAAGAAAAATGAGATGTAGCTTTCCTACCTTTATTTCTCTGTTTGAATTGTTGTTTAAAATATGAATAGTTGAGATAGATGTAGCATTTCTATCATGTATTTTTAAAATTTTAGCAGGAGGAAATAATATAGACATCTAAATGAACTATTTTAAAAATAATTATTTTGTCTTTTGGTTTTATGTTCTGAAAGTTAACTTTTTAAAAATCTCATCATTCTGATGATATTGTACCTCTATATGTATCTACTGAGATCTAAAATATATATTTTTAAAATGCAGTCTCTTCCCATCTACATTATAGTATTAATGGGATCCATGTAAAAGTTTGAAACCAGGATATTATAATTATTTTCTCATTTTCCAGCTATTTCAAGTTTGCAGAATTACATGGATTATTCTACATAGGACAACATATAAACTAGTATTGCAAATATCACTTGGATTTTACACATGAAGAAAAGTCAGTCAAGTAAGAAATGTAGCCAAGGTCACACTGCTAATGATAAAGTTAGCTCTAAGTTCTAGACTAGTGATTAAATAAAAACTCATACTCCATAGTCAGCATGAAAGGGAAGCGGAGGTGGTGAGGGAGCTCAAATAACCAGAACATATATACATTTTGTGTTTCACAGAATATCATAAAATATTGGTTATGGGTATAATCCATTCTTGGCAATGTCTGATTAATCAGAAATGCTACGTATCTCTATATCTATGTATAATCCATAATTAATTCTCAGGTCATTGGAAATTCTTAGTGATTGATGGTACACCTTCCCCACCAACACATGTTATTACAATTGATTCAAATAGTCAAAAGAATTTACTAATTGAAAACATCACATAAATACTTTTATCTAATGCTTTTATCAGCAAGAGCTCAGATGCTGCAAGTCACATTAATTTCTGCCGTACTGAAATAACTTCATTTATTCATTTCTTCAGCAAGCAGTTGTCAAATATTTTCTTTCTGCATTTGCTAGACTCTTAAGTAACAAGCATGCTATTGGATTGCTTTATGTTTTCTGGTTCTACCAAATTGAGAAAAAAAATGTCCTGAGTCACTCTAACTAAAATATAGACGTGTCCCACATCAGAATGTACTGATGTATCCAGCAGGGAGTCTTTGAAGACCAATTGCGTCACCAAGCAGGCTCCTATAGTTAGCAGAAGGAAAACCTGCAATTTCAGACAGACAGGTCAGATCACTTCACTGACAGTGCCTGACTGAAGGTAGAAATTCCCTGGCAGCTACCCAGAGAGCAATATAGGAAAGTTGCCCTGTATTGTTAACTTACAAAAATTTGATGTGGCTACTTTTGAAGTTTTTCTTCTTATTTTGTTTTGTTTCTCGATGTGTGTGTCTGTATGTGTGTTTGTGTGTGGGGGTGTGCGTGTGTGTTTGTCATTGCAGATTCTTGAAGCCCTGGCTAAAAGTGATGAGCATTTTGTACACAACTGCACCAGCCTAAATTCTCTAAATGAAGTGATTCCTACTGACCTTCAGAGTAAATTCAGTGCCCTTTGCAGTGAAAGAATTGAACACATATGTCAGAGAATATCCAGTTATAAAAAGGTAAGGGTTCTATTGATTTTACACATCATTATTGTTGAGATTATTAGTTAAATGTCAAATTTAAATCAATTCTTGATATTTTCTTTACATATTTGTTAGGTACCATTTTACTGAAATGATAACATTATACAACGTTTTAGAGTTTTTAAAATGCCTTAACATCCATTACCTCATTTGATCTTTGCAAACTTGTAAGTTATGTTACTGTCCCGCATCTTCAAAATATAGTAACTGAGGCCTAAAGAATTAAATTATTTTCTAGTAAAAGATAGAGCTGGCCATTGAATGCAGACCACCTAATTCTGAAGTCAAAATTTAAAATTATACTATAGTTCTTCTTTCCTTTTCTCCCAACTAAGAGAATGAAAACCCTCAATCAGAAAGTACATGGACTGTGGGCTTTTAAAAATTAATTGATGAAGTCATTCATTTGAGATACATTTATTAGGCACCCTCTACGTGCCAAGTACTGTTCTAGGTTCCAGGAATATAGCAGGGAAGGAGACAATTTCTCTTCTCTCATGGTGCTCACATTCAAGTGGGAGAGACAACAAAGAAGTAAATAAATCCCTACAAAGTGGAGGGAATCAAATATTAAGAAGAATTATGAGGAAATCAAAATAGGGAAGTATGGTTTAAATGCCAGGTTGATCCTTTTGACTCTGTGGCTAGAGAAAGCCCCTTATGAGAAAGCGTGTATCTGCATGACAAGTAGAACTCTCCCTTTCAGTTGGAGAGAGAAACCTCCAGGGAGAAGGAACAGCTGGTAATTGAGGCCCCAAAGCAGAAAGAAGGCCAGGGTGGCCAGAGGTTGGTGGCCAGGCTTAAGGTCAGAGGCTTAGGCAGGGCCAGTTGTGAAGAGCTGTGGCAGCTCCTGTACATTTTGGGACTTGGGAAGGAGTTTGGATTTTATTATTGTATTAATGAAAAGCAATTGGAAGGTTTTAAGCAGGGGGATGACTTCATCTGATTTAGGCTTTTGAAAGATAATGCTTTTGTAGGAATGGATTGCAAGGGGGCAGAAATGGAGAAATAGAGACCGGTAGGAAGCTGTTGCAGTGGTCCAGTTGAGTGATGCTGATGGCTTGGACTACATTGAAGATGAAGGAGACAAAAAACATTAGATGAATTTGGGGACATATTTTAAAGGTAGAATTAATGGGAATTCATCTCCAAAACACATGCTAAAGGAAGTTTAAAAATTATTTCTATTTATACCAATAAAAGACTAATTGATTAAATGATTTCCCTCCAAATGAAGTTGGTTGCTTAAAATTTGGTCACTCGTACTAGATAATATTCTTTATCTCAATGTATATGAATATGTGGTAAGTATATGTGTTTTATGTTCTTGATATGGTAATTAAAATAAGCCCATCTATGTCTATATTTGGCTAAGAATAGGGATGTATATAAATTAATACCCAAGGGACTCAAAACATTGGTTACTAACTGAGTGAGTCAAGGGAAGAGAGATCATGATTTTTTGGTTTAAACAATTCCTGTAATGGTTGGGTTGTTGAGTTGAGTTTGCATTACTATTGTATCTTTTTAAAAGTTATTCATGTGAAGAAAACTAATGTTCAGGGTCACTGCTTACCTGCCACTTTTGTTAATCTGCTTTTCATGGCTGCTGGTTCAGTTCACCTATTTGAGTCTGGGGAAGATTCCATGGAATGTACCTTGTTGGAGTTGAAGGACAGAAGATTCTTTACTTACTTCTTATTTCTCTATGAAATGTAACAGTGCTTTGAAGTAAAAGGTCTAAACAAATGCAAAAAACTGCTGCACAAATGCAAATCAGTATTCTCCTTTTGAAGAAATTTTGAAAAAGAGAGTTGTTCTACTTTAGAAATGGATTTGTACAAAAAGGTGTGATACAGGTTCAGGCAGAGTCTGGGTGTCAAACTGGTCACCATGCCTGGGACATTTCTCTTTTGCTTTCTTCCTGCTTTCCTCTCTTCATTCTTTCATGCAATAAAAAAGTGGAAGTAGCTTACAGAAGTGTACATGGAAAATGGTAAACTATATAAACAAACATAATCTTAGGATCAGGGTATATTAGTTAGCAAATTGATGCAGCAGATTAAGAATGAGGACCAAGAGAACACAGGCTTAAACAAATGTTGGAGATCCTCAAAAACGTCACCCTGGAAGGTGAGAAGTGTGTTCCATTTACTCATAAGTAACTGAGATCCTAGAAGCTTTTATGGCACAGATGGACAGGCTAATGGGCAATGATGTTAGATGATAAAAATAATGTCACCGAATCGCAGAAAGCTCTTTTATGTACATTATTGTTACTTGAGTATCAAAACAGTCATGTGTATGGACCCTTCTCTCATCCTGCCTCTTTTTTTCGGGAGATTAAGAATTTGCTTAAGGTCACGTAGGTGGCAACTAACAGACTAGGTTCCTATGGAATGAGTCTCACTTGTGTTTATGTTTAATTTAGAAATAAAAAAGAGACATGTAGTCACCTAGGGCCTATGTGCTTTAAAAGCTATCCTTGTCATCATCCCATTTGGCCATAAACATATTTAAAATAACTGGTTTTCTCATTAGATCGAGAATCAAGGTTAGCAAGAAAATATTGCAAGGATCTTTTCAATTTGAATAAGATTTAGGTGCCTAAGATCGTAGCCCTAATAGGTCATCTAAGATTAGCTCCATTTATGTATCAAATGCATGTCAACAGAACCCATAGCATTTGAGAATATAGATTTTTAATTTTCACACATACACTTTAAAACTATTATTAGAAACATATTTTTCTTCCTGATGAAGACTTCAGCACTCTTCTTTTTGTGAAATAAAATGTATCCATAGAAACTAAAATCTCGAAGATGCTGGCTTTACCTTATTTTGACTCTGAAAGTTTTAGGTTTTAAAAATAGAAACCAGTTGATTGCTATAGCTTCTATAGTAAGGCTGCTGCAATTATAATAGATTTCCTGGCTGGTTGTACAGGCCACAGATGTTTTTTGGCACGTGTATGAAACCTGGTCAGACCTAACTGAAGATCTGAATGAATCCTAAGCGAGACTTTTTTCTCTGTGGAGCAGGATTTGAGGATAATTCAGACATAAAATTATGCCCCGTAGGGAGGAATGCTTTCTCCCTAAATTGTCCTGGAAACACTTTTTAGCTTTACAGTCGTTCTTCTGCTTTAGAATAATTCCATAATTGGGCTTATTTTGGGTATTGGGGATACTTCCTAGATAGAAATATTTAATATACATTCAAGGGATAGTTCCTGTTTACACAGAAATATTACATGCAGGAACTGGAAGTCTTCCTTTGAATGTCTGAAGTCCCTCTTTACTTATTCATGCCATGTAACCCTCACACTGATATATGGACTGGGAAGATCGCGAGAAAAAGTCTTCCCCGTGTCCCCTTCCCTCAAAAGGGTACAATACAAAACTTTCATAACCTCGTGCCAAAAAGATTTTATGCTTCATTGAAATAGGAAGCTATCTGCAAAATAGTAGGTTACCATTGTATTACTTCTTTTAGTTAAGTGACTATAATTGGATTAAAATATGCTGCTCTGGTCAATAATTCATGAATTAGTTACCAATGTGTTAAAAACCTGAAGTTCTACCTCCAGAAATTGTTCATTCCTGTCAGTGTAGAAATACGCTTTATATCACCTACATTAAAAAGAAATAGCCCTCCCCTACTCCGTACTGTTCCCTTTCTTTGATCTTTATTCTGGAAAGGGCTGTCTATACCTGCTGTCTCACCTTCATTACCCTCAGCACACTCCAGTGGGCCTCTACTCCCCTCTATGTAACTGAAATGGCTGTATTTTGCCAGTCTATTGACTGTCCTGATAGCATTCCTTGTCTTAGTGGGATCTGATGCAGTTGACCGTAAACCACTACTTGACAGTCCTCTGTGACCCCACATATGCCTAGTTTTTGTCCTTTCTTGTGGAGGCTCCTTTGTGGTATCCTAGCTGGTCCTCCTTTTCTTCCCTCCCCTTTCCTTGGTAAAACTCCAGGGCTCAGGACTCTGTCTTCTCCTTCTCTCTCTCCATTCGCAATTCCCTGGCGATCTCATTCAGGGTCCCGGCCCGTTTGACCTCTGCAACTGGGTTTAATCAATATCTCACGCTTCACATGTTCCAGATCAGCTCTTGACCCTTCCCCTGCTCCACCCCAGTGCCCCTGCAGTTTGCCTTTTCTTTGCTGCCTTCTCTTTCTCGGGCTTATGCCCATCCTTCCCATTGCTCAGCCTAAAACCTTGAATACACTCTTCACTTCCCTTTCTCTCATACCATTCTTGTGGCTTTACCTTCAACCATGCAGCCTTTCCTCCCTACCTCTACTGCTGGTGGCTTTGGGTGAGCCACTGCCATCTCTCTTCTGTAAGTGGTCTCCTTGCTGCTCCTGGCCAACTCACAGTTGTCCTGAGTGGTTGTACACTTCACTCATGGTCAAAGCCAAATCCTTTCAGTGGCCTTCAGAATCTGTGCCCTCCCTCCCTGCATTGCTTCTCCAATCCTGCCTCCTCTGCCTCCCTCTCACTGCTGCTCCGGTCACACTGGTTTTCTTGATGCTCCTTGGATACACCAGTCCTGTGGCTTTGCACTGGCTGTTCCCTCTGCCAGAAATGACCCCTTTCCAGATGCTCACATTTCTAACTTCCCCCTCTTTCCGGACTGCTTAAATGTCAGCTTCAGTGAGGCCTGTTCTGATCATCCTGGTTACAATTGGTAATCCATTCTTCAGTTCACCTTTGAAACTTTGAACCCTCTTACGCTGCTCAATTTTGTTTTCAGTTACATTTACCACCTATCAACATTACATAAATGACTTACCATATTTGCTGTTGACCTCTCTTCTCACTAGAATGTAACCTCCCGGAAGGCAGGAATCTTTGTTTTGTTTACTAATGTTCCCCGACATGCTGAGGATAGTGCCTGATGCCAAAGAGCCTTCCAGAAGTCATTGTTGGATAAATGAATAAAGGTGGCAGTAAGTTTGGGCTTGTAGTATCCATAGTATATCTAAAGTCCTGTCCCTCCCAGTGCATCTCTCTCCACACCCATTTTGCATTTCTTTATTGCAAAATTGCAGTTTTTATTTGGGGAAAATACTTTTTTGTTTTTTAACCTTTCCCTGGGAGTTTCTCCAAAGCAGATTAATGAGTTCAGTGTTTCCTTTGATGTTGCTAAAAAGATAGGCAGGTTGATGTTTACAGGCCCATTTGCACAATCAGAATGTTCTCATGCATGAACCACCGTCGATCCATGAACTGTACCTTCCTTATTTTAGGTTCGAGTTTCAGAAAGGTCTTACAGTTTCACAGCATGGCATCCTGTCTGGGAGCACAGTTTTGATCTTCACAGTGTAAGCGGCACATTTCCAGTACCTGTGACTATGGGGTTCCTCCTCCTGCTTCCTCCTCTCTTAGGAATATCCCAGGATGGAAGACAGCACTGCATTCCTGAGGACCTTCCTTCTCAAGAACTGATCTTAGCAGAGAGGGCCCCTGTCTGAGTCTTACCCTTTGGAACAGTTCAGGCACCTTTAGACATAGTACACAGCCCTTCCTGCATATGGGCAGGGGGACATTCTGTATTCACGGCATTTGTATTGAGCTACAAGTTGGAAAGCCAGTCCCCCTAGCAAGGGAATCTTCTGCCAGCTCTCCCCGATCACTCCATTAACACTTCATGACGTCACCCCGTTCACTTCCTTTTCAGCTTGTAACAAAATTTCTCATTATCTGGCTTTTACGTGTATTATATGATTGCATTATTACAATCATGCACTGCATAACATTTCAGTCAATGACAGATCATATATATATAAATGGTGGTCCCATAAGATTATAATACTATATTTTGACTCTACTTTTTCTGTGTTCAGATAGATGCACCTAGTGGTGCATTTTTCAGAATGCATCCCCATTGTTAAGCAATGCATTACTGTATTATATATATGGCACAGGTATTATATATATGGCACATTGCCATTACTTTTAATGGCAAAAACCGCAATCACTTTTGCTACAACCTAATAATTGCAATAAACAATTGCTGCATATAGCAATAGTATTGCATTGTTTCTCTTGTGTTGTCTACTAGACTGTGAACTCCAGGAGGGCAAGGGCTATATCTCCAGCATTGAGCACAGAGTCTGGAATAGATGCCTCTCTTCTTGCTTTTGAATGGATGGATGATTGTTTAAAATGGAAGAAGTCAAGAGAAGCATAACTTCCTATTATGGTGGATGCTGTTACCTAATAAAATTGATTTCTGTGCCTTTTTTTGTGCCATGGGTGCCTTGTGAGACTTTTATCCTGCAACAACAGTGGAAAAGAACTTTTGACTGAAAAAGGTTTTTGCATCTAGCCTAAAATTCTATGTCCCACATAAGCCTCTAAGTCACCGTTTCTTTATTAGTAAAGTGCTGGGATAGGTTAGGAGTTCTCTAAATTCCTTTCTTTAAAAAAAGTTTAGAATAAATCTTCACTATCCATTATTATTAAATTTGCTCATCATTTTGTTAATAATTTCCTGCATTTCAATTCAGTTCCATTTAGATTTCTACTGTGCACTGGCACATGGCTGAGCTACACAGCTTCTGACACGCGATTTGAAGACATAGTTTAATACACACATTGTACGTGTGTGTGTGTATATATCACATATATGCATAATGTACACACATACATATAAGACAGTCCCTGTTCTAATGGTGAACTTGTATTTATGAAATGTGAATTTTGATATTTATTCTTGAATTGAATCTAGAAAAGTTAGACAGTGACCATAGTCTTAATTTTTATTCTTATCCATGCCAAAATTATTACTCTACTAGTAGATAAATAGATAGGATCATGGTTATAGTTTTCAAGGGAGAAGATGATATAGACATTATTTAATCCATGTCCATTATTTTATGAAGAATGCAAAAAAGACACTGACTTGCCTAACATCATATCAGTTATTATGACAGCTATAACAAATACACAGGTAGACAGTGACTCTCAATCCTTTGCTTTTGAGACTACAATTCAGTCTAACTGTACCAGACTCTTACCAATAGTACACAGAACAGACCTACGTATTACCCTCATGGGGTTTACCATCTGCTAGGGGAGCTAGAAATAAGATATTTATTTATACCTATATAATAGGAAGGTTACAGTGTGCTGGAACTTAGCAGTAGTCAGGGAAATTGAACCTAGACTAGGAGTCAGGGAAGGCCTCTTGATGATTTGATAGAACTTGAAGTTGCAAAGGAAACAGTTTGGCAATGCAGGAAGAAGAAAATTCTAGGCCCACTGAACAGCCTGTAGAAAGGGTCAGAGTGAGTAGATAGTTTGTGAGACAAACCAAGTGAGGGCCAGAAGGAGCTTAGGGAGCAAGGGGAAGAAAACTTGAGATAGAGAAGCTAGGTGGGCATCCGACTTGGGCTGCTTTAGAGACCTTGGCGAAGAATAGATGAATTTGAATGGAAACCCATGGCAAGGTTTGAAGCAGTGGAGTGGCTACCTTGGAAGTCATATAAATCATGTATCACTTTATTCTCAAAGCATAAAGGCAGAGTGCACACCAGTCTTCAGTTTGATCCTGACTCAGTGATTAGCAGGAGGCATGGGAAACAGATTTGTCCTGCCATTCTGGGCCTCAGCCACCACACCTTACTGTCTGACCTGTACACAGACTGGTGCTTTGGATTAGCTTTATGCTTGTGTTTGGGACATCCCATCTTCTTCCACCCTTGACTCGCAGCTACCCTGATTTGCCATTTTGCCTTGTTTGGAAGCTCTCCGTTCTCTCCTGGTGTCCTGGGATGCCACTTGCCCTGTCAGGCTCTTTCAGCTGCTGGGAGCCTGTGGATTTGAGTCCAAGTATATTATGTTGGCCACAGAAATTCATTTCTTTGAATACCTAAGTTGCAATCACAGTTTCAAAGGAATCATATGCATTTGCTGCTTATATTGCTTGGCTTTATTAAGAATGCTTGAGTTTTGAAATAATAATGTAATTTCTAACAACATATAATTGATTTCACTCATTCAAGTTGACATGATTTAATTCCCTTTGATTTTGTTGTGAATGATGCAAGTGAAAAAAACTTGCCTGAGTTATTACTGTGTGTTCAACTGCTTTTTGTGTTTTCTTTAATTTGCAGTTTTCTCGTGTACTGAAGAATAGAGCCTGGCCTACTTTTAAACAGGCCAAATCTAAAATCTCCCCACTGCACAGCAGTGATTTCTGCCCTACCAACTGCCATGTCAACGTGATGGAAGTTTCTTATCCCAAAACATCAACCTCTTTGGGAAGTGCATTTGGTGTTCAGTTGGATAGTAGGAAGCATCATTCTCATGATAAAGAAAACAAATCTTCGGAGCAAGGTATGCTAGCTTTTGCAACTTTACCAAATCGTAAAAAGTAATTTAGGCAATCATAGCTATTCGTGCAGCCCTGAAATTCAATAGATAACTGGTGTGCAAACAAGCATGACCTTTTATAAAGGAAGGATTTCTTACTGTAATCACTTGGATAATTATGCCTAAGTGTATACTGAATGAAAATGGAGTTAGGCGTTTTTGTTATTTTTCTTCTAAGAAGGATGATTGCTCTTGCTTTCCTTATGCGTATGATAGGCACAGCTCATCCTGCTGTGAAAGCTGCTCATCTGAAATGGCCCTGAAACTTTGAGGACAATACCTGAGGAACATCTGCAGCAATGCACTATGCCATTCTGTACCATCACAGTAGGACAAGGGATCAAACTGTCTTCTAGTTTTTAATTACAACTCCCCACAAGCTCTCATTTCTGAATTAAATTCAGCATTGGATCAGCATTTTATTTTATGGAATCTCAAATTTAACTTGACTGGATAAAGAAAATGGGGTATATAAACACAATGGAATACCATTTAGCCATAAAAAGAAGTAAATCCTGTCATTTGTGACAACATAGATGAACCTGGAAAACATTGTGTTAAAGTGAAATAAACCAGACACAGAAAGACAAATACTATATGATCTCATTTATATGAGGAATCTAAAAAAGTTGATGTCATAGAAGTAGAGAGTAGAATGGTGATTACCAGGGCCTGGGGTGATTGGGTGGGGGATTGAGAAGATGCAGGCCAAAGGATATAAAATTTCAATCAGATAAGAGGAATAAGTTCAAGAGATCTATTGTATAACATGGCGAGTATGGTTAATATATTGTATTCTTGATAAATCCTAAGAGAGTGGGTATACAGTGTTCTCAGCACCAACATGATAACTACGTGAAGTAATACATATGTTAATTACCTAGATTTAGTCATTGCATTATGCATATATACATCAAAACATCAGGTTGTACATGTAATACATGTAATTGTATCTGTCAATTAAAAAATAAAAATTAATTGGACTGGATTGTTATCATAAGTTAAAGGTGATACATGTTACTAAGGAATGACTTTAATTCCTCAGGGAAACTGAGCCCTATGGTGTACATTCAGCACACCATCACAACCATGGCGGCCCCTTCAGGTCTGTCTCTGGGACAGCAGGATGGCCATGGTCTCAGGTATCTGCTGAAAGAAGAAGACTTAGAAACCCAAGACATCTATCAGAAACTGCTGGGTAAACTTCAGACTGCACTGAAAGAGGTGGAGATGTGTGTTTGTCAAATAGATGAGTAAGTGTTTTGTACTACACTTTTAAGTTTGCCAAATTAAATAGCTGTAAAAATGTGACTTAGAAAAATTCAATAATTCTCTCTTTAGTTATTGGAAATTTAGGAGATTTGTGTTGATTATGCAGATCCTCTTCATTCCAAAACTTTAAAAATGTTTTTTAATGGAAAAAATACGTATAGGTATATATTTTAAGTAAGCATTTAATACCAGGGAAGAGAATGACAAAATTCTATCTTATACAAGGATGCTAAATGAGTCTTAGTGTAAAAATGTTACCTTGAAAAATATATTTGAAAGCATACCAGTTTTGTATGAGGATTTCCTTGTACTCTTTGTAGTTCAGGGTAAAAATTTTGGTGAATATGCACTCAATAGAAATTTATAAAAGACAAAGTATAATAAATGCTTCACATACTTGTTAAATGAGTAAATGCAAAATTATGTATCTCTAGGACAAATACATTTTTCTTTTCTGATTGAATTCATGGCCTGCTAAGCAATAACCCAAATATCTGTGCCAGTATTTTTGACCAAGAGAAGGTGGAGGCAGTTAATGAGCACTTTTCCAAATAAATCAGTTCTAATTCTTATTTAAGAATTTGACGGTTGGAGAATTGCCTGAGCTTGCGAGGATGCTTTGTCACATCATGGTATAGGACGATGCTTCACATCTAGTCCAGACAGCTCCGTATAGTCAGAACAGCGTGGGGTTTGAAGTAGCTCAGTTTCTCATCTACAGAAGTGAGTGAGTAATAATAATGAATTACAAGTTTGTGGTGATGAAAGTTATACAAATTAATACAGAAAGTAATCAGCACGCTGCCTAATATAATGCTTGCTCATCCATTCAAGGGGTAGAAATTATTGAATATATCCCCAATTAGCAGATTCTGAAACTAATAGAAATATTGTTATCTTCTTTTTATTGTACTCTCTTCATGAAGTTGTTGATTTAAATGGCTACAGATGTGAACTCTTGACTTCACACACACACCTATCGTCCTGTATTTCATGGATAATTCAGTTTTGACACAAAATATTTAGACCTTATTCCAAGCCTTTGTTGTAATTAGACATTATACTGATGAAGTCATAATTGACATGATCTCTCATTTTACAGGTTTCTGAAATTTAGAGATCAAAATCATATTAGAAGCATTATATTTTAAAAATTATCCTCAATATTTAGTATTTACTTTGCTAATTTTCTGAAGTTTTATGAGTGATTTAGAATTAAGATTTTGTTTCTCTATTTCTGGTATACTATTTTTGTGTATTATACTGTGGCTTTTCCTATTTACAGATGAATTAAACAGTTCAAGATTGCTAAGAGAAAAGGAAAGTATTTTTTAAGCAATTGCATGACATTTTTGAATTGTGTTGGAATCCTTGCGACAGAAGTTTATATTTTAGGATATGATATTTTACTTCATTTAATAAATGAGATTTTGTTGCATGATATATTTTAAAAACCAGTTGTTGTCTACCACAGGTATTTATGAAGTATATAGAATTTTTATTAATAAGGCAATAAATAGTGGCATTGAATCATAGCTTCTAGGCCTCAAAGGGATTTTAAGAAAACATCTGGACCAATCCCATACTTCCAGTTCCAAGAGTTGTTATTGCCATTTTGGGATGAGTCTTGTCAATGGCAAGATTATTGATGTGCCTCAGCTGGCACTGCTCAGGGACTAATCTTTAATGCATTGACGATCTAGCACTGCCTGGCAATCCTCCAGGCTTTGTCTTTGTTAATTTATTGAATTTTTTTTAAAGGTTCAGGTGATGTAGAAATATTTTCAGGAAAAATATGTAAACGCAAGGAGCTCCTTTTACTTGGCTTAAAATGTTTATATTTAAGGCACTAGTTGCAGACTAGTTATTTTTATTAACTAAAACTACTTAAAATGATTACTTTTCACTGAAGTTTTCCCCACCCTGTTATTCTGAAAACCTTTACCGAGCTGAGCATGTTTATTAGAAAGGTGGCAAAAAGTGAGCAAATGATTGGAGAAACCACCTTGGTCTTCTTTGGGTACACCGCATAATTTAATTCTAAGTATTAATAGGTTCCACACAACTTAATGTGCAATATAAATCGCTGTACAACAGTACAGTTGTTTTAAGTGCCTGGATTCCCCATTGCTTTTAATATTCAGAGATGCTGCCATGCAGTCGAGGTTAACACATTATTTAAAAATCTAGTATCTGAACAATTTTCTCACCCTATAGTAATTATTCCTAGTCAGAGATGTCTTTGCAAGTGAAGCAGCAGATCTCAGATGTGTTGCCAAGTTTTAAGATAAATTGCCTGATAACACCTCAGTGTTAGCTTTTCTAGAAGTTATTCATCCCTGTGAAAGGTCCCGAGGTTGAGCTTGTCTTATCATAAAGTCTGGTTGTTCTGTCACCTGGGAATACCTCTCAGAAATGAAATTTCCTTTAACACAGAGGCATTTCACTAAATCCTCCTACTTAGCTTCAGACCCAAAGATAGAATTAGAGATGAATTTCCTGTCTAGTAACATGAGGTAAGATGATGTAATGAATTTAATCAAGGATTTGTGATTCTGGTTTCACTTTGGAAAGTTAACAACTTTTGCCCTTTAATGGGCTATTTACTGGGTAATGACACTTAGGTACAAGAAATAAGTAAAAGGAAAAATAATTAATGTCCAAAACCTTTGACAGGGTTTTAAAATAGAGGATTTGTGTATTCTCACAGGGAGGAAAGGGGCCTGGTAATCACAGGGGATTTGAGAACAGACTTCATTTTGCAGGTGCCAGATGCCTCAGGATTGAGTGATGAACAAACCACACTTTCAGACAGTTAGTAACCCGGGGGTTACAGAGAGGAATGCTGGTGGTGGTGGTAGAGTAATCATTGAGGTTTCCCCAAGCATTTTGCTAGTAAATACACAAAAAGAGGGACACACCATAAAAACCAGCTTTTTTTATAGGTGCTTATGTGCCAGGCAAGATTACACTATTATATACGTTGGCTGATTTCATTCTCACAGTACTTCTGTGAGTTGAGTTATGAAACACCAGGATGCACCCTACTCCCTCCAGAGTGTGCAAGTTAGATGCAGGGAGAGGGAATCCTGCTTAATTTGCACAGGCTATGTATATAACAATATGTTTTGCCTACCCCGCCTCTAAAATGTGGAAATAATGATAATACCTACTTCATAAGGTGGTTTTAGAGATTAAATGAATTGATACCTGTTAAAGACTTAGCATGGTGACTGTCATAAAAGCTCAACAGATGTTAGCAATGATGATGATGTTTAAAAACACACAGGTCATTGCAACATACTGTATACAAAAATCTTTTTTATCAATGGCACAAGGAGGAGATTCACCTGGAATTGCATGCTGCTGAAGCTTTTAATTAATGGACCTCTAGTAGGTAACTTAATATTGTATATGAATGAAAGTGAAGGGATTTCTGCAAGCACAAATATTATGGTTTGATGCCGTGTTGCTTTTCAGAATCTAGAAATTTTATGCAAAACATGGTGTTTAAAATACAGTTTTTCTATCATTTGTTTGTAAGCCTAACACTTGTTCCCACAGGGTCAACGCAAGCATGATTGCAGCTGTTTTAAATGGAAAGCAAATATCTGAATACAATTCATGTAACTTTGAAAAAAATTATGCTTAGCCCCATGACTTCTAATTTAAAAGATACATAAGCGCAGAGGGCTCTTTGCAAAATGAGAACTCCTGCGTTTTTTTTCCTCTTTGGTATTCAAAGTTCATCTGTCTGTGCAGCATGGAGCTTGGATAATTGGAGTTAGTCTAATGTTTTAATCTTTTGGGTGGAGAGGGTGAATAAATAGACAATCTGTCTTACACGACATAAAAGTATCTTTCCAAAGAGAAAAACTGTATTTAAAATCATCCACAGCTTTTGGTTATTAAAAATGTTCACAGGGCCTCGAGCAATGTAACATAGCTCCTTCAATTTTTCACTGGTGTATAAAAACTGTAAAATGTCAAAATATTATTCAAATCTCACCTCCCTGTGAGACCTGACCTGACTGCACCGCTATTTGAAATGGCAGCTTCACGCTTCCTTCCCTGCTTTGTTTTTCTCCTTACCATTTGCTGCCATTTGATATACTAGAAAGTTTACTTGTTTTTACTTGTCTTCTCTCAGTAGAATTTGAGCTCCAAGAAGGCAGGGGGTTTTGTGTTTTGTTTTTGTCGCTGTTGTTGTTTGTTTGTTTTTTGAGATGGAGTCTTGCTCTGTTGCCCAGGCTGGAGTGCAGTGGTATGATCTCCGCTCACTGCAACCTCCACCTCCAGGGTTCAAGTGATTCTCCTGCCTCGGTCTCCCAAGTAGCTGGAACTACAGTCTTCCGCCACGACACCACACCCGGCTAATTTTTGTATTTTTAATAGAGACAGGGTTTCACCATGTTGGCCAGGCTGGTCTCGAACTCCTGACCTCGTGTGATCCACCCACCTCGGCCTCCCAAAGTGCTCGGATTACAGGCATGAGCCACGGCGCCTGGCCCGTTTGTGTATTTTATAAACTACTATATCCACTGCACCAAGAACAATGCATGGTATAATAAATGTGTTTAGTGAAATCACTTAACAGGTATTTATTCAATGCACAGCATTGGGTTTGACATTGTGGAATATGTATGAGATACCTTCAGAGTCTTGAAATAACAAACATTACATTGCTATGGAAAAATGAGAACCAAGATATGCGCTAGTGATTGGAACTGAAAATCACAGGTATTTAGTAAATGTGAAGATGGCTGTTGGCTTGAGAAGCCCTATATGGGTCCTTTGTTTAGACATGGTTTAATTCATTTTGCAAATTTTTTAGCATGCCGTTTGACAATAAAGTTCGATTCCATTTTTGCCTAATTTTGAGTTAGTTGTAACAGAAACATGCCACAGCAAACGTTCAAGCCTAGTGTTGGAGTCAGCAGCTACTCAAAGTCCTCAGCAGGTTTCACACAGTTCAGTCTGACTGCAGCATTTTACCCTGGAGCCAAGTGGAGGAGCTCTTTCTGTGGGCAGATTTGGAACATTTCATCCTGGCTGGCTTGCAGATGAGATTGTAATTACCCCATCCTCACATTGTATGTTACTCTGTTTGCTGTCTGGTAATCCCCAAGGCCAGGACTCCTGTTTGTATGAGCAGGGAGAGGGATTGACAATCCAATATTCTCCCTGCCAAATAGAGAATGCCTGGGCGAAACCCAAGGCACAGGTAGAGGGATAGGTGGGTTTTTAATACTGAATGTGAGCCAGTAAGGACATTAAGGCCCGTTTACAGTTTGGGTTTAATATTTGACTAGCACTTTGGAGATTGTTGAGTATTTCCGTAAGGTGATGATGGTTGTGCTAATGGCCAGGGGCTAAAGATAACACCCATTATGCACCAGGAGTATTCATTCTCATAGCAGTCATGGAAGCCAGTTATTCTCATTATCCCCATTTCACAAGTATCCAATAGAACTACCACAGCTTTGTTTTAGTTGTAGTCATGCATGGCACAACCTGGATTTCAATGAAACTTTCTGGTCTAAATTATGCTGTTTGTATGACTCATTTTGTGAAGAACAAGTGAACTTTGAATGACATGCTTTTTATGTAATAGAATATTTACTTGATATGAAACATTGAAGCACTCTAGAAATATTTGTAAGCCTATTGTATTCAGCAAATAAGGTAGTTATCTATAGCAGACAGTTTGAAAATGTGCATTTATGTTTTTAATATTACATTGCAGCCTTCTGTCTTCAATAACATATTCTCCTAAATTAGAACGTAAGACATCGGAGGGCATAATACCAACAGACAGTGACAATGAGAAGGGAGAAAGAAACAGCAAACGGGTCTGTTTTAATGTAGCAGGAGATGAACAGGAAGATTCTGGTCATGATACCATCAGCAACAGAGACTCTTACAGGTAATTCACTAACTCATCAAACTCATTTACTCAGGAAAGTCAAACGTGATGCTGGATTTTCCACAAAGATCTTGAAAAAAGTTTTTGGTTTTTTTTTTTTTAGTTGGTCTTTCACAGTCATCACTTGTTATTACTGACCTCAGACAAAGCATAATGGGACAGTGTAATATTTCAAATCCTTCCCTTTTCTAATATGAATAGCTTGGAAAAAGCATTTTTTCTGTGGTGGTGTGAGCTTAATTTGGGAGAGTTGTTCTGTATATGGATTGTGTAACATATATAGCAAATAAGAAAATTGTGTCTAATCTGAGGGATTAACATCTTTTTCAACTATCTGTTTCTGTCACTGGTTTATTGGGTAGCGAGTAGGAGTTCTTTTGGCCCTTTTTTCTCTCTTTTCTTTTCATTTTCTATGTTCCAAACTAATTGGACTAATGTTCCTTGCCTACCTCTGAGACAAAGCTTGCGTTTTTCACTCTCTTGGATACCTTCTATATTAGTTTTCTAGGGCTGCTGTAACAGATTACTACAAACTGGGCAGCTTAAACAACAGAAATTTATTATCACACAGTTCTGGAGGTCAAAAATCTGAAACCAAGGTGTGGGCTGTGTTGGCTCCTTCTGAAGGCTGTGGAGGAAGGATCCGTGCCAGGCCTGGCTACTTGACGTGTAAACGGCCATCTTCTCCCTGCGTCTCTGCACATTCTCTTCCCTCCATATGTATCTTGTGTCCAAATTTTCCCTTCTTATAAGGACATTTTATAGGGCGGCTTAAGGTGGCACCCTAATGACCTCATTTTAACTCGATTACCTTTGTAAAAACCCTATCTCCAAATAAGGTCACATTCTGAGGCACTAGGGATCACTTTTCAACCACATGAATTTTGTTGGGAGACCCTGTTCAACCCCAAATACTTTCCCTCCAAACTCTGTTTTTGTCTTCCTACTAGACTTCCAAATGATGTCTCCTCGCATGAACTTCCTTAATTGAAAGTGCTTTTTGTTCCGTGTATCACCTGATACCTCACTAAGGACTGTCATAACCAGCCACATAAGCTGTGTATACAACTTTAACATCTTTTTCATTTATGTTAATTGAAAGCAAAAACTACCTTCTTCAGTCGTTTATTATGCAGTGTTTTGCAATGAAAAGATACTGATTCAATAGTAATCAAAGTTCTCATCAGAGTATATATAACTAGTTACAAACTAGGAGCTAACATTAAAAATATACTTTTACCAAACACATGGGGGAAGAGGAAGATTTTACATAATCCTCACTGCGACCCTCGGTGGCAGGTTCTGATAGGAACTCCATTTTACATATCAGGAAGCTGAAGCCCGGAGGGCCGATATCATTTATCTATGAGACCAGGTGGTCTGGCTTCCCAGTTTGTCTCTTAACCACTCTACTGTTCCAATTTCTATGTTTTCAAAAAGGATCTTAATGAACACATAAGAGTTATTCTAGAGATTTAATCATAGATCAGACAGATTAACCACTTTTATCACTTCATTTACTTTTCACTTCTGAGCATCCCAACCTGCTCTTTAATAGGAATCTGTAGGGTTTTTCCCGGTGGGAAATTACACATCTAAAAATACTTCCTTAACTCAAGTTCTAGTTATCAGATAATTAAAATTACCCTGACAGTTTCCCTCTAGGCTAAGATAGAAATTTTAAATGTAAATTTAAAGTTAAGAAAGTCCTTTTTACTTATTCTGAGAGGAAAGAAAATATTTTATCTCCTGCACTATTTCTGAAATCTGTCCCTGTTCACACACAAACATTTTAAACATTTCTTTCCTTGGGCATTCATCATTATCAAGCACTTCCCTGTGCTAAAAGCTCTGAGGTGAAGACAGACAAAGTCCCTATCCTCCATAAGGAAGCTCAGAGTGTAACCAATAAGTTATGATTTAAGATATCAGAAAGGGACAGAAATCACAAAACGGTATTTTGTCTCTATTAGCAAGTTATCTAATTACCGTCATATATCATGAAACAGATTATAAAGAATTTTAAGTTTGGTGTGACTCCTAGTTTTATAACTAACTGCCCTTAAAAAAATCATTTGGGACTAGATTATATGATACAAGAAAATTTGAAATATAATTGAATCGAAAATATGCCATCTTTAAAAGGTAAGGTAGACTGAGTTGAACAAGTTTATCTTTCTCTTAGTTTTCTCTAAAACATATTAATAAATATAACTGATATACGTTTATGTCATAAGAAATTGCAGGGACACCTGGGCAGTTGCACTCTTACAGTAACATGAAACTTATTGTTTTCAGTGACTGCAACAGCAATAGGAATTCCATCGCCTCCTTCACCAGCATCTGCAGCAGCCAGTGCAGCTCGTATTTCCACAGTGATGAAATGGACTCAGGTGTGTTCGTTGGTGAAGGCCTGTGGGATTTTTGATGTTAGTCCTAAAGGAGATAACTTTAAGGTTTTAATTTCTTAGATCCATATGAATTTTTATTTTTACCTTTTATCATTCACTCTCTGTGGCCACACATATTGCATTTCAATTTTATGTGCTTGATAGTCTATTTCCCAATCCCATTTTAAAGGGAGTGAGTTAAAAAACAATGAAATAAGCAAACTAATTGTAATCTTCAGATATGCTCTATGATCTCTTTATGGTTCTACGAAGGATTATAGGTACACAGGAAACATACTGAAAGTATTAGGCGTTGTTGATGGGGATAGGCAGGTGTGGAGTTTGAAGCATTAAAGACAGCAGGTTCATCTAAGCTAGCTTTATATGTGGATGATGAGGATTGAGGGTAATGAGAGAAACAGATTGATATAATTATCTTATTATTATCTTGTATGTGTTAAGAACAAATACTTTTCATCCAATTAGGGAAAATCTTAATTTTTGATTATTCAGTTTATTTCAACTCTTCAACCATTGGAGGAACATAATTTGAAAGAATAATTAACAAGTGTCCTTTCTAGGGGTCACTCTGCCTTCAGAAGAAGTAATAACATCCCAGGAGCTATTAAATCTTTTGGAGCTCTCTCTGAACATGAGAACTGTGCATGGAATAAGAGCTTGTGTTTAATTTTTACATTTTATTTAATATTTAAAATATTTTGGAATGTTAAACATAAGATGAGTGATTGTTGTTTTTGGTTTTGTTTTTGTTTTGATATCTAGGTGATGAACTTCCCCTAAGTGTTCGCATTTCTCATGATAAACAGGACAAGATACATAGTTGCCTTGAGCATCTTTTCAGCCAGGTACAATCGGGCATTTGTGGGGCTTTTGTTCCACAACTAAACTGTCAGGAGTCCCTTTTTCAGATGCAGTACAAGGAGCTCGGAGTTAGAACAGAAAGGTCTCAATCTGTCTTTACCTCCTTTACCTCTATTTCTGACGTTTAAACTAGGAATAAACATTCTTTCAGCCAACTCACCTAAAGGATTTTTGTGAATATCAAGTATTTTACGGTCCTGGGAAAATTACTGTGATACACATAGGAGTTCCTCTTTTTAGGATTTGTTTTTTTTGTTTTTTGTTTTCAGAAAGCTTTATGATATTTCTTGCTCAACATTATTTCTAATTTTAAAAAGCACAAGATATTGCCTTGGATGCTAATTTTGTCATTTTAAATTAAAAAAATGTATAGCCATAACCAAAATTTGTAGTAGAAGATTTTACCACTTTGAAAAGGATTCCAATAACTTATAGTTAAAGAAAACTCCAGAGATTTTTTGTTCTTTTGTGAGGTAAATTTATATTTTGTATTAATATATGGTAAGATAGTAAGAAATGTCATTGCAAATGTTATCAGGTGCATTTATTTCAATATTTTCTGTAAAGATGGATTTCACAGGCATCACGGGGTTTCAAAAATAATTGTTGCTTAAAAAAACATTTTATAAGATTTACATTTAGAAATACATATCATGTACTGTGAGAGATGTGTAACTCAGAAATCTCTACTATTGACAGGTGGATTCAATTACCAATCTCCTAAAAGGGCAGGCTGTTGTGAGGGCCTTTGACCAAACCAAGTATCTCACTCCAGGCCGAGGATTGCAAGGTAAGTCTTGAAAAATTAACTAGTAGAAGCAATTGAGAAAAAAAGGTGGTAGACAATATAGTCAAGAAGCAAGGAGATTGCATAAGAGGAGCAATTCCGGTTACTCATGTTTCATAATTCACTGGATACTACTTCTATTTTGATAAGTTTTGAATATGTAAAAAAGTCAGCATAGGAAGTTTTACATTTATTTGAAAGTTTAAAATGTTTAATGCCTATAGGGGCCAGGCTAAGCAAAAATGAGTTAATCGAAGATACATAAGCATGAAGTTGATTTTGCTGAACCCAAGCATAATGTCTCCTTGGCTGTTTCCCCGTGGTAAGGAAAGGGTGTGGGGAATGAGAGTTGATGAATGGAAAGGATGGAGCTGCCAGTCTGATTAGTAACTAGTTGGGATAATGAAAGTAGAGTTTTCATCTAAATTTGCTTTGTTTAAACATTTATAAGAAAATAACATTAAGGTTTGACTTTTTAGGTTTAACGGATTTTCTGACGGTATGGCAAAATAAATGACCACCATGTCAATAGTCTAGGACAACAGTGACAGAAGAAGGTTTTGAAGCCTAAAGGCTTAATTGGTTGGGAACAAGTTGAGACTTAAGAGAGATTTTCTGTGTTTATTTAGAATTTCAACAGGAAATGGAACCAAAGCTGAGTTGTCCAAAAAGGCTACGGCTTCATATCAAGCAAGACCCCTGGAATCTTCCCAGCAGCGTCCGGACTCTTGCTCAGAACATCAGGAAATTTGTTGAAGGTCAGCATGAAAAGCAAAGATCGTTGCATGATCTTAGCAATAATCATTTTAAAACCCACTAAAACCAAAAGTTTGATAATGCTTGATTACTTTTTACAGTGTTTCCTGTTGTGAAGAAAATAAAAGTACTGAAAATGGTGAGGGAGGAAGAGGGCAAGAAGGAATAAGATTATAGGGCCTTGTGTCCCCAGGGTTATAAACATCATGAAGAATATTCTCATTGAATAAAATAAGGGCTCAAAGTTGTGAAGACAAATCGAACATGAAGAGAATTTAAGACTTTATAATAGAAGACAATGTCATAAAAAAATTCAGAAGGATATACAAAAGGCATGAAGCTAATGCTTATCCAAAAAAAAAAAAAAAAAAAAATCAATTGTGAAGCTGTGTGAGAATCAAAATAATCACGTAGGTTGCATCATTAATTTTTACGTTTTTATTTCAGAAGTGTTTGTCTAAGTTGATTGCTCTTAACTACCGTAACACTATTTACATGACATTCTATAATTGGTAAAACCTGTGAATTGGAGACATATAATTTTGAGACGACTTCATTGAGATAGATTGCATGTTGTTTAGAATCAGCGTGATTAAGTAGAAAATTCTGAGAGTTTCCAAAATGATTATGGTGAAAAAGATGAAATGAGAATTCATCTAGTTTTAAAAATATATAACTCAGCAATTTTCTTCCCAGTGATTAGACCAGTGGTTAGCAACATCTGGAGGTATTTTTGGTTGTCACAATTGTGGGTGTGCTACTGACCTCTAGATAGAGGCCAGGGATGCTGCTGAACATTCTAGAATGTACAAGAGAGTTCCTCACAAGGGAGAATTCTCTGATCCAAAATGTTAGTAGTGCTAAGATCGAGAAACTCGTACAATAAATACTATTCCTGTGTTTACAGTTTTATCCCTCAGTCATTTGTGTGTCAGTTGGATGTGGTCAATAGTATTCAGTGGTATTTAGCAAAATTACAGTATAACTGCAGTTATTACCTTAAGTGGGGTAAATTAAAGAAAGCTGTAAATGTTGCTGACAAAAGACAGCCTCTTATACCAAATGGAGTCTGAGTCACTTAACTCTTTCAGGCTTCAACTTACACATTTATTAAATGACAGAGATGGCTTAAATGTTCTGTGATTACTAAGTCTTCTGCATAGACTTACACTCAAATATAACAACTTTCGTTTAGAGATTAGTAGAAAGGAAATTTGTATAGATATGGAATACTTCCCCAAATAAATCATAGTGATTCTATCTTGTGATAAAATCTTTTGTATTTAACAGCTGGATTTCTTGGCTGTATTTTTATTTTATGGCCTAATATAATGTTTATCTATGATACTTTGTAACATAATGTTTAATGAAAAGTATGAATTTAAAATTCCCCAAAATATGAATAGCATAAATATAAAATGCATTTGAAAAAACAATTATGTTTTAGAAATTTAAGTATATACTTTACTGAGTAAAAGACATATTTCTGCTGAATAGATGCCAGTATTATGACACTACTAGAAATTATAATTCTGCAGTTCTCATCATCTTTGAGATTTTATATTTGTTTTAAGGTAAATGTATATTGGCTAGGAATGGAGAAATCCTTAAATCATCTCCCCCACTTTTTTGTTTTGAACAATTTTATCTTTCAGATAGAAATTTCTAATGCTCTCATTAGTTTCCAAGAGCTTCTTGGCTTCTGCATTAATTTTACTATTTACCCAAAAGTTATTCAAGGGCAGGTTATTCAATATCCATGTAATTGTATGGTTTTGAGTGAATTTCTTAGTCTTTATTTCTAATTTGATTGTGCTGTGGTCTGAGAGAGTGGTTGTTATGATTTCACTTCTTTTGCATTTGCTGAGAAGTGTTTTATGTCTGATTATGTCATTGCTTTTAGTGTATGTGCCATGTGGTGATGGGAAGAATGTCTATTCTGTTGTATTGGGATAGAGATATCTGTAGATGTCTATCAGGACCATCTGATCAGTGCTGAGGTCAGGTCCTGAATATCTTTGTTAATGTTCTGCCTCGATGATCTGTCTAATACTGACAGTGGGTTGTTGAAGTCTCTAACTATTATTGTGTGGGAGTCTAAGTCTCTCTGAAGGTCTCTAAGAACTTGCTTTATAAATCTGTGAAACTAATGAGAGCAAAGGTAAAATATACCAGACTCTCTGAGACACAGCTAAGGCAATGTTAAGAGGAAATTTTGTAGCACTAAATGCCCATATCCAAAAGTTAGAAAGATCTTGATATATAAACCTAACCCCACAAGCAAAAGAACTATATAACCAAGATAAAATCAAACCCAAAGGTAGCAGAGGACAATAAATAACTAAAATCAGAGCTGAACTGAAAGAGATTGAGATACAAGAAACCATTTAAAAGATCAATGAATCTAGGAGTTGGTTTTTGAAAAAATTAATAAAGTAGATAGACCACTAGCTGGGCTAGTAAGGAAGAAAAGAGAGAAGATCCAAACAAACATATTAAAAATGACAAAGGAGATATTACCACTGACCCCACAGAAATACACATAACTATCATATTATGTGTATTTACACATAAGTTTCATAACTATGGATACTTCTATGCACATAAACTACAAAATCTAAAAGAAATGGATAAATTCCTGGACACATACACCCTCCCAAGACTGAACTAGAAAGAATTTGAATCCCTGAACAGACCAATAACAAGCTCCAAAGTTGAATCAGTAATAAATAGCCTGCCAACCAAAAAAAAAGCCTGGGGCCAGATGGATTAACAGCCAAATTCTACCAGATGTACAAAGAAGAGCTGATACAGTTTCTATCAAAACTATTTCAAAGAATTGAAGAGGAGGGACTCCTCCCTAACTTACTCTAGGAGGCCAGCATTATCCTGATACCAAAAACTGGCAGAGATACAACAACAAAAAGAAAACTTCAGGCCAATATTCTTTATGAACATCAATGCAAAAATCTTCAACAAAATACTGGCAACCCAAATCCAGCATCACATCAAAAAGCTTACCTACCATGATCAAGTAGTCTTTATCCTTGGGACACAAAGTTGGTTCAACATACTCAAATCAACAAGTGTGATTCATCATATAAACAGAACTAAAGACAAAAAGCATATGATAATCTCAGTAGATGCAGAAAAGACTTTTGATAATATTCAACATCCCTTCCTGTTAAAAACTCTCAATAAACTAAGTATTGAAGGAACATACCTCAAAATAGTAAGGGCCGTCTAAAACAAACCCGCAGCCAACAACATCATACTGAAAAGGCAAAAACTGGAAGCATTCCCCTTGAAAACCAGCACAAGACAAGAATTCCCTCTCTCACCACTCCTATTCAACGTAGTATTGGAAGTCTTGGCTAGGGCAGTTAGGCAAGAGAAAGTAATAAAGGGCATCCAAATAGGAAGAGAGGAAGTCAAACTATCCCTGTTTGTAGGCAAAATGATTCTATATCTCGAAGACCTTATAGTCTCAGCCCAAAAGTTCCTTAAGCTGATAAACAAATTCAGCAAAGTCTTGGGATACAAAAATCAATGTGCAAAACTCACTAGCTTTCTTATACACCAACAACAGTCAAGCTGAGAGTCAAATCAGGAATGTAATCTTATTCACAATTGCCACACAAAGAATAAAATACCTAGGAATACAACTAACCAGGGAGGTGAAAGATTTCTACAAGGAGATCTATAAAATACTGCTCAAAGATATATTAGAGATGACACAAACAAATGGAAAGACATCCCGTGTTCATTGATAAGAAGAATTGATACCATTAAAATGGCTGTACTGCCCAAAGCAATTTACAGATTCAATGCTATTCCTGTTAAACTACCAATAACATTTTTCACAAAACTAGAAAAAAACTATTTTAAAATTCGTATGAAGCCAAAAAAAGAGCCTGAATAGCCAAGGCAATCCTAAGTAAAAAGAACAAGGCTGGAGACATCACACTACTCAACTTCCAACTATACTACAGGGCTACAGTAACCAAAACAGCATGGTACTGGTATGAAAACACACATGGACCAATGGAGCAGAATAGACAGCCCAGAAATAATGTCACACACCTACGACTATCTGATCTTCTACAAGGCTGACAAAAACAAGCAATGGGGAAAGGATTTTCTATTTAATAAATGGTGCTGGGATAACTGGCTAGCCATTTGCAGAAGATTGAAACTGAACCCCTTCCTTACACTTTATACAAAAATTAACTTAAGATGGATTAAAGACTTAAAAGTAAAATCCAAAACTATAAAAACTCTAGAAGACAACCTGAGTAATACCATTTTGGACATAGGAACGGGCAAAGATTTCATGACGAAAATGCTGAAAGCAATTGCAACAAAAGCAAAAATTGACAAATAGGATCTAATTAAACTTAAGAGCTCCTGTATAACAAAAGAAAGTATTAACAGAGTAAACAGACAACCTACAGAATGGGAGAAAATTTGCGAACTGTGCATCTGACAAAGGTCTAATGTCAAGCATCTATAAGGAACAAATTTACAAGAAGAAAAACAATCTCACTAAAATGTGAGCAAATGAGATGAACAGACACTTTTGAAAAGAGGACATACATGTGGCTAACAAACATGAAAAAAAGCTCAACATCACTGTTCATTAAGAAACATATGAAAAAAAGCTCAGCATCACTGTTCTTTAGAGAAATGCAAATCAAAACTACAATGAGATACCATCTCACACCTGTCAGAATGGCTATTATTAAAACGTCAAAAAATAACAGATACTGACAAGGCTGCAGAGAAAAAGGAACACTTACACGCTGTTGGTGGGAATGTAAATTAGTTCAACCATTGTGGAAAACAGTGTGGTGATTCCTTGACCCAAAAACAGAAATATCATTTGGCCCAGCAATCCCATTATTGGGTATATACCCAAAGGAATATAAGTCACTCTGTCATAAAGATGTGTGCACACATATATTCATTGCAGGACTACTCACAATACCAAAGATATGAAATC